AGTCTAGTCTGCTTTGCTCTCAAGCAGGATGAACAAGGAGCTTTATTCACTACTATAGGACTAGGAATGTAACGCTGCAACTGAACGAGCTTGGACTATGATGGATGCCCAAGCCGAAAATGCCAGAGACGAGAATCTTTGAGTGCCTGCTGCGCCGCAAAAGCCACCGGATGTCGATTCTCAAACATCCGCAGGTGATAAAGACCATCCACGTGCTTACCCATCCCAATCATGCCTTTGGATTGTAAGTCCTGGATTACACAGAAATTATTTATGAAAATCACCGCAACTTGATGATCCGCTGTAAGCCGACTGACTGACAATAGATTACATTGAAAATCAGGGACATGTAACACATGACGAAGAATAAATCCATTTCCCAATTTCGAGTTGCCAATACCACGGACTGGGATTCCAGTGCCATTGGGAATGCGTACCTGTAGACCAGAGTTGGACTCCAACTCACCAGCAAATAACGAAATATCTTTAGCAATATGTTCGTTACACCCAGAGTCAATAACCCATGTATCAGAAGAGATGATTTCATGTGACGTACCTGACATGTTGGCCTTTGGTTGGGAGGAGGTAGCTTCGGAATCGGAGAGCTTGAGATCACAATTGAGGAAGGCCTTCAATTGTGCAACTTGATCGGCAGTCAAGCCTGGGATAGCAAGGTCTGCAGTTTCAACCGCAGCCGCATGAGGTTCCCCTCTCCCTTGACGTGGCTGGTTCCGCTTCCGAGGTTTCTCACTTCGATCACCAGACCGAGAGGGCCACCCAATGAGGTCGTAACACGTATCGCGGAAGTGACATGGTTTCTCGCAGTGCGTACAGAAAGGACGGCCTTCAGGTTTGCGACTCTCTGAACTTGGACGCTCCCCCTTTCCTTGAAACGCTGCAGCTTCAGTACGGGGACGCTGCTCATGGGTAAGACTCCGCTGCTGCTCGTCGTTAGAGACGGCATGATAAGCTTCTCCAAGGGATGGTGGCGGCTTTTGAGTGAGAAGATGAGTCCTGACAGTGGAGAACCCATCATCTAAACCAACAAGGAAGTCAAGCAATTTCATTGCTTCATGGGATTCCCTAGTACGTTGCTCCACTTGCCAAGTGCAGCGACCGCACGTACACTTAGCAGGGGGATCAAGATTAAGTCAATCATCCCATAATCTCTTTAACTTGGCATAAAAGGTCGAGACACTTGACCTTTCCTGCCGAAGATTGGCGAGTTGACGTCGAATCTTGTAACGACGAGGCAAATTTCCAGTGCTGAAGCGTTCCTGTAATTCGTCCCAAATTTGTTTGGCCGTAAAACCGGAGCTCAAGCTGCTGCGGATCTCCTTAGACATAGCACTCCGCAGCCACCCCACGGCCATCGCATTGCAACGGATCCAGGAATTGAGATGCTCGCCACCGGCAGGCTTGACAACCGTGCCAAGAACGAAACCAAACTTGTTTTTGGCGATGAGGGCATTGGCCATCTCCGCCGCCCATTCGCCATAATTAAGATCTGTAAGTAACTCCCCAACGAACACTTGGCTGGGTGCATCGGATGGATGCAAGAACAATGGAGAGGTGGGACCAATAACGTCAATATTGACGTGTTCCTTCCCTTTGTCGTGCGAGCTGGAATCGTCCTCGACCATGACGGAAGAACGGCTCACAAACTAAGAAGAATACCCACGAACAAAAAACCTAATGATGGACCGAGGTTAGCTCTGATACCATGAAGAAATCAACAACTGCGGAATAGCAAACGTGTACAAACGCAAGAGTTTTACGTGGTATCCCTGTTCGGTGTGAACAGGACTAATCCACGGTGAGCTCGAACGAGCTCATAGCTGACATGTTATTGACGATTGATGATTCTGATTGCTAGCTTGCTTGTGACATTCTCCACAGCTAAGCTTTTATACAATTCAGGGACGTGGGTTGAAACCCTACAGAGGACAAACATGGACAAGTAAAGCCCAATAACAAATGGACTAGGACTAGGACTCGAATTCCTTGTGTACCAAGAAATCGACTACCGCAACATTCTGCAGTAGGAGCTCCGACTGCACATTCCCTAGTGGCCCTGCTTCCATTAGCACGTCGTTGAAGAACTTCATCCCATAGAACATCCGTGTCATCTGCAACCAACCATTCGAAACCCAATTAATGAAACTCACATATTCATAACAAGTGCTTATGTATGGACGCCATAGATCAATCCATTTGACTCACTTATGGATTCATAGGGAACCAGAGGCTTGTAATCAAAGCTGAAGACTTGGGTGACATTGTTGAGATTGGGGTGGTGGATGACCAAAGTCCACAGTGTGTAATTCATTCGGTTGTTGAAATTGGTGACCAAAACTTTTACTCGCCAGTACTCCTTGTAGTTGGTCTTGACGTGCCAATGGACCCGAACCGGGCACATATGGTGCGTGCACTGTAACAATGAGCTGTTGTCCTTTCTTGGCTTGTGTATCCCTGCAGCCATGCTCAGAATCTTCCCCTGGTTACTACTTACTAGTACATTGAGTGCACAAGAAAGTTAGCGAGAGTTCGCGACACTCGAATTTCGATCTCCGAACTTCTCCCGTGACGAGGAAGGAACTCACTTGACGCATGTGTGCTTGTTTTCACGTCCACAAGCCCACGAAGGGTAAGGAGTGATGGTGTCATTGTAGAAGGACGACAGAGACACACAACAACGTAGATGTTTCCTAGCCAGAAACTGCGAGTATGTACAAGTGACGTTCCAAGTCACTTCATTTTCACATGTCAAAAACAACCATAAGACAGACCATTGTCGATATAATTGCACTGTAATAAGAGGTTGGAAGAGTGAGATCAAAAGAGAGGGTTTGGGACATTATCTGAGTGCCTGAGTTTTCCGGCGGAGATCAGGAGTGAGGAACTTAGTGGAAGGCACAACCTTAGCAGGGCCACAAGTGTATCCAGGTCCAGGACCAAGCAAGGCGAAGTTCTTCGGCCTGTGATGATTGATGGGAGGAGGAGAAAAAAACAGAGTAATTGTTAGTTCCAATCTGACAATGTTAATGCTCTCACCGTTCGTAAAAGAAAACAAACGTTATTGCTCTCATCGTGTACCCGTCGGCGGTCCAAGATACAATGTCCCATTTGATTGTAATGTTTCCGGTGGGATCCAATGGATCATATGCACCTGCAGAACAGAGCAAAAAAAAAAAACAGAGGAAAAACAGAGCACGACGGTAAATAAACACGATTAACTGTAACACAGAAGAGTTGGGTTTCCCTCTAGAATGCGGAGAGATTGAGAAAGATTGCTGATAAGTTCTGACCCGAGCAAGTGAACAGCAGCAGAAGGGAGACTATTGGCACTGCAATTCTCATCATTTTGGGAGAGAGGGCGGCTCTGTAATATCTGGAGGCAGAGGTGTTGTTGTTCACTTTTAATGGGGGAGATGACTTGGGAAAGAAAGGAAGTCAGGGGCACAACAGGGCACATGTTCATGGCTGTGTCACAGTCTGTCCGATTCTGGAACTTCTTTTTTCGTTTTCTCCAGCTGCGAGCTTTTGAAGCAAAGTTACGTGACGAATTGGGGGAGGAGATACGGAGTTCTTCGGAGGTTAACATCGCAACGGTAGTGGGTTCTAATAAAAAAAGACTATTGTGTTTCTCTAGCCATGAAGCAAAGACAACACACAAGATTTCTCATGTGTCAAAATTAGATTTCCCAAATGAGGAAAAGGATGGATCTTAAGCATGGTGAAGACAACAAGTAAGAAAGTATTCACAACGTATTCATTAATGGGGTGACTAACAAGTTGACTAGACTAGTTTAAAAATTCGTGTGTTTTTAATCTCGAATTCCAGATTTCGATCAATTCATACGTCGATATTTCTTTATACTAGAAAAGACCCGCTCGCTACGCTTCGCGAAAAAATAACCATAGCAAGCTCTCTAAACAACTACCACCAGCACAGTCTGCAAGAAGCAAGGTGGAAGAGGCACGCAAACTTTTGTCAGAAAGGATGATATTTACCTGGATGCACCATAACAAAATGATTATGAGTTGGGAAATGAACTTGTCAAGAACATAAATTGAAAAAAATGAGATGAGTATTGGACAGTTTTGGTGCCAAGAAATACCAATTGATCACTGACCCAGCACCCATTCGAAGACCCTTTTGCAAGCTTATACATCCTCAATCAATTATTATTGATTCCAAGAAACAACAAAGGAGATCTCCTCGGTGATAGGCGATTTCAAGTTTCAACATAGCCATCATTCTTTCAATTTTGGGGAGACCCAAAATGTAAATTTCTAAACTTAAGAATTACTCGAACGAAAAAAGTGATTACATGCTCCTAACACCACTATGTTAAACTAATTGGCCCACCAGAAGAGTGTAAAAAAACATTGGTGAAAAATTGAACATCCTTGGGAACAGATTCATGAAAGCAAGTCCCTACTCCTCCCTGTCTCTTGACCGTTCATCCCTCGGGAAAAAAACCCGACCACTGACATTTGGAAACAATTGGGAAGAGATATTCGCTTACTGTCTGCTTCAGGCTCAGTAGTTTTCCCATGCTCTTTGACCAAGGGATTGATTCTATTCCGCTCTGCAAATTATAACACCAATCATCCCTGAATTAAATATTAACCCAACGATCAAATACATAACGTAATGTAGATCGCTGAGGAATATCAAAAGGAAATGACATTTACAGCCCACAAGCACAGATTGACAATATTGGTTCTAAATCAATTCCATGTACATGCATCGACAATGTGAATACAAAAGGTCTTGATTAGCTTCCAAAAGTCGAGTCCTGCATGCACATCCAATCCTATCGGATGGACATGTGCTTCTCACTCGTTTCAGTTATAACCATGGATAAACAAATGGCAAATCTTTCTTCAAAACCAACATAAAAACCCCAGCAAATCCTCATAAGAATCAATTAATCCCAAATTGTGATTCAAAGAGGCCTTTTAATTAAGATCGAACTAACTGTGAAAGATATGTTGGGAAAGTGTTTTTACTTACTGTAAACTCAGGCTAGCTGCAAGCTGTTGACCGTAATAACAGCATCCCATATTAGAACTGCAACCAATTGTTGTTCGAATTAAATCAGGCACTCCCTATACATCCTCCTATGATTCACACAACGTCAATGACTCAAACACCGTCGAATCCACACATCTATATATGTGAATGACATTACAAAATTAAACCAATTCACACAGATTTTGTGTCTTCCCATTAAAAAAATAAGTTGTATGGCGGGTAGATCTTAAACGGGGAGCTAAATCTACCAACCATGAATTTGAGGGTCCACATAACCTGCACGAACCGTACATCCTCCCATCCATGATCCTAAGGTAACTGTCACTAAAATACGCAGTGAATTATATCAAAAGCAAAGGGAATAGACGGTTGAACTCCCTTTAACCATAGATCTAATTCATTCAATAATGTAAGGAAATAGCACATAATCTGAATTCTGAAACTATTCAGCCGCACTAAAGGAGAGCCACTAAGTCAAAGGAGAATGATTAAATTCACAGAGAACAATATCTAACCTGGAGATTTGGAAAAAGCGCATATTTTCTTTGCAGGTTTGCTGCTGGCGATCAAGTATTCTCCCCAGCAGCTACAATAGCGTTACTCCAGGTCTCGGTTCATCAGAGTAAAGCATCACATTCACCTACATGTATATGCACCACATCCATTAAATAGAAGAAAAAAAAAACATTACCATTTTGTTCCAAATACTCTATAAGCAAAATAAGTGAGAACAAAACCAAGAATTTGCATGAAAAGGGTCCTTAAGTAACTGATATACTTTTTCGTGTGAGCTGGTACGTTTCAATTTTCATTTAACCAAAATCCCAATTTGATGATTTTTTAAAGATATCAATTTGCAAAGTAGCCACAAACACTTAAGTTATTTCATGATGATCAAACATAAAGAGATTTGGGCTCTCAAAGTCACCTGACTCATTGGGACCCTGGCTCTCTTCTTATTCAGTTCAAAGAAGCAAAATTCCTTCTATCAAGTTCATATTTCCTAACTACAATTGTTTAGTTCTTCCTCCATATGAGGAAATAGTCTGTTAGTTTCAATCAACTTCTAAAGTATGAACACCATCCCTTTCCATTAATTGGGCAAGAATGATGCTAAGCTGCTAATCAAGGAAACGTTATTTCACATACTACATGAGTCAATTGAAAATATGTGTGATCAGCCGGGGGGGGATTTTCAATTTGTTGCATACCTCGAGCAGTTTCTTTTCAGTGGCCAACACGAAATCGACATCAGGGTTGCCAATACCAGCTGCAGAAGTTGGCTAATCTGTACCCAACAGTACCTGTAAAAAAGGCAGAATTCAACAATTCACCTTGCTAATACCAGCTGATTCTGCCACCCAAAAGAAAATAAATTAACCGATTATCGCCCAATATGGAATAGAGACAACAAATTTGCCAGTTTTCACACCAAGCTCATTAATTGTTTTTTCTGCAGCGTTTCCAAATCACCACAGTTCAGCCAGGAAATCTGATTTATGTTACGTGAGAAAGGAAAATCAATGAACTCCTCTCCCATATATTATATATATATAACCAAATTTAAACACAGATAAGCAACACAACAATCATGCTTGAATGCATGGCTCTGACTTACTCTTCTAAATGACAAATTTCTTTACTAATTGCTACTATCCAATTCCATTAAGAAAACCAAGGAATGAATGCTGAGAACTAACAGAACTACCCAATTTTCAATCACACACTTCATTTCATTGGCTAATGCATATGCAATTAGAACAACTTGTTCCTCTTATGAACTGGAACATACAAAATTTCACATCTAACAAAGTGGACAGGAATTGGTACTTCTCTAGGCCTAAAATGGAAAAGTAAAGAACAATATTCATGAGGCAGCTAGGTAGCTAGCACACAAAACTTATCAGAATGTGACCATCCTGATTATGAGACGATTAATTTCAGCAAAAGTTGCTATGTGAATACAACAAAGATCGAGCTACTGCCTACCTTAATTAGCCTGTTGTCTGAATTCTCTGGAATATCCCATTGGAACCAGGTACTGAAGCATCATCGATCAACAACACATCCACATATGTCTAAGCATTGCCACGTTGCCTCGCATACGCCTTTGCATACCTTCTAGGCAGGATCTTCTTTGTTATTGTAATCGAAATCTTCGGCTGATGGTTGGTCCCAAAACCCCACATAACAAAGAAGAATCAGCAAGTTCAATAACCCATTAAAAATAAAGAAAAAAAAGAGCATGAGATGGGATTTTCAGCAGAGCCAGTGGTGCTAGGCTTCTGGTCATTCAACTTTGGTTTTTATAGTTGTCAAAAGGTAGACCAATTATAAAGAACAACCACCAAAGTTAGACAACCATTTTAGAGACGTAAGTGTACATGTCAGGAGTGCATAGGCATCACAGCATAATTAACCCCAACATTCAATGCTGCAGAAGGGTAAATGTAGAGAAGAAGAGGCCCAGAAGTAGGGGTTTGTGGGAGGAAACAGTACCTTCGGTAAGGGGAGAAGGCGGCACATGAACAAACCAGATAATTCTCCTCATGCCTGCAACTGCAAATCACTCCTGCTCACCTATTTGTATGAAAATGAAACCATCTAGAGCAGCCGCTAATTGGCATTAAAATCACAGAAATCGCACCACAAAAAAGAGACAATGAGACTAAATAGCAACCTTGTTGTAACCAGAGGATTACCATAGATTAAGCGAGGAGGTTCAAGTGTGGGATTCAGCAGGCGAAAAGCAGAGGAGGAAGCGAGTACCTGAGATTAAACTGGTACGTCACCGCACTGATTGATTCACGACCTTGCCCACCTGATCTCCATATCTGAAACCACCAACCTTGTACAGCAAAAACGCAAACCAGAGGTCCCCTCCCTGCCCTAGATCGCTTTGGACTTGCGCTTCGCTCGTCGCGCCCATTTGCGGCGACATTCGTACCATCCCGGCCCTAATCGCAGCGCCGCCAGTATAATCTGAACCTCCGCCCGCTCAAATACACAGGTTAGCCCGCTTCTTCCCCATCATGCCTGCGAAATTTCCTCCTCGTCATGCCTGCGAGTTTGGGATTCCGCCGAGAGCAGATTTCGGTGCTAGGTGGAACGGCGAGAAGAGGGAACATAAGACAAAGTGGGGCTTAGATAAAGCAGAGTGAAGGAAGTGTATGAGCATGGTAGATGGAATGCCGTTTCCAAGGAAGAAGGGGAAAGATGAAGTAGAGTGAAGGGAGCAGAGGTTGCGTATGGAAATTAGGAGATGCAAAAGCCGATGGATCCATAGGAGTCTTCCAAGCAAAGAAGAACGAATGACCCATAGGGATTTCCGAGGAGGAATTGGGAGTTGGAGCGTTCTGGGTGGCGTGCATCGGTGTATGACCAGGGACTTGCGGGCGCCTGTGCCGGTGTTGAGGAGACGGGACGAAAGAAAGGGTCTCTGCGTGTCAGAGAGGAGAAGCGAACGACAGGCAGCTGCAGGGGAGGAACCCGGTTGTCCGATGGGCAAAACCCAGAACCTATGGTTCGCACATGGCGCGTTGGGTATTGAGGGGTTCCAAGTGTCTCTGTGAGAGAAGAAGAAGCCCACGTTGGCCAATGAAGAAGAAACGAATGGAAGAAGCCCAGTCGCAGATGGCAACCGTGTGGGCCACTAATGAACAGTACCCAAAACTGTGGCTTTTATATATCAATGTTTGGAGGTGTCACATGAGAGGATGTGGGGGTTCATGGCCCTACCTGAAAATAAAAAGTAAAAATTGTATGGATTAGTGTTATATAATATTTAACTTTCCACCTCTAACCCCATGAAATTTATACAAGTCTTCTTACAAATTTTCTTTATGGGATGAATCCACTCGAAACTTTGATACAAGGACAAATATGCGTGTTACGAGCTGGTTCGTTTCAAAATTTTCGATCCGGACAAATGTGACAACTTATTCTTATTGTTCGTGTATACTGATCATATATTTAATGAACTACAACTATATGGGTTTGCAAAGAAGTAAACTTAGTTAAAAAAAACACAAGCATACTAATAGACAAATTATTTTACTCTCCAACCCCAATTCGACGAATTTCTGATTAGAACAATGCCTAAATGACTAAATTACTTACGATCAATTCCAAAATCTTTGAAGAGATAAACAAGGTTAATTACTTTGATAATCTAACATATTAGTACGCCCCTCAATCGTTTTATCTCACAGTTAACATCTGCTACAAACAAAACGGTGTATTTGTGAAAAGTTTTCATAGTATGAGGGTTTGAATGTAGGGAAAATTTAATTTGTTGAAGGTAGACAAACCATATGTATTATTGCCATTTGATACCCTCAAAATCCCCTGTTTTGGAGAGCCAACTGTATTAGAAACTCCAGCCCACTGGAAAACACGTAGTATCTTAGACTTGTTGAATGTATACTACGACGAGCCAACATGTAAATTTAGGGGTGAACAAACACATCCGCAAACCGACCCATCCGTCCAACCCGACCCAATCCACCCGTATTTATCGCTAAAACGAAGATTTTAGGTTGGGTGAGGGTTTTCTTTTGTACAACCCGCCTCTATTGGGTTGGGTTTGGATTTTGGATTACACAACCCGTAGAACCCGACCCAACCCGTGTTTCAATTATTGGTATGAGTTCGTATCCAAAAAAATATTTATGTCATATATAGTCATACTTATGAGAAAATTAAGATATTTTGCCATGTTTTTCTCTTAAGGTCTCACTAATCTAATGCATTTTTCGACTTAAAGTTTAGACATAGATTTAATATACCTATGATTCACGTAATTCTTTTTCTTGTGTACAATTTTAATAGAATAACATATTATGGATGCGTTCATTTGTAACCTTTTTAGCCTATTTCAACAAATGTCGTGAAAAAAAACTAGACATAAGTTGAAGTAAATAAAATTTTATTAAAATTCAAACAATATTTGTGAATTTTGATACCTTTCACCTCGGTTTATTCGTTTGAATTTTTAATTTGTTATAAAATATTTTTATGGTGTAGAATAATTACATATTTTGTGTTGGGTGGGTTTTTACTTAAAAATATCGCCAACCCGACCCAACCCAACCCAATTAGAAATAAACCGTAGGGTTTAAATTTTTTTGGATGGGTTTGGGTTTAATATTTCTCAAACCATAGTGCATGGATCGGGTGATTAAAATGCCTAAACCCGGACCACCCGACCCATGTACACATGTAATTATTATTATTATTATTATATGCCCAATTCAAACAAGGAAGAAATTTCCAGACTTGAAATATTACTTTATTTTATTTTTCAAAGTGTATCGTTTTATTTTATTTTTATGCACATTTTAATATTACTCTATTTGATTTTTTAGTATTATTTTAGTGAGATTGTTATAATGATTTTTATTGAGATGACCGACCTAATTATCTGGTTGATGGTTCGTCTTAATAACCAACTTTATACAAATTAGGGACTCAATCAACATATATCTAAGTGGGAATAAGATTACTCTCGATTATCTTGGCAATTATTAAAAGAGAAATGATCATTTAAAGTATCATGAAATAGACATAAAATCTATTTCATAAAATGAGTCATTGAAATACTTTATATTAAAGACAAAAGCATAAAGCAATATATACGACGAGAGACCAACAAAATAATTCAAATTTTAAAATTATACCCAATATGAAATCGATTTAAGTGCTCATTTTGTTACACACACCACCGATTTACCTGATTAATCAGTCTAGGTTTTGATGTGTTCTTTGTTTCTACCATGTAGTAAAATTACAGATGTTTGCAGATTTTAACAGATTAAACCAAAGATCCGCACGTTCATTCTTCAAAGTTTACTTGCTCAACTCAAACATAGTTTGCAGACTAGGCTTCAACAACTTTCAATGGGCCACAAAGGTTGGGGTCTGTTGTTTTGTATTGGGCTTGGGCCGTTGCTTTTCTGTAAAGTGGAGCATTATTGGGCCTCTTTCGCCTACTCAACCCTCGCCCATCTAATAAAACCCTAGTCCCCACCCGGTTACATAAAACCTAATCGACGCCTCCATTTTCGCCTTCTCATAGACTGCAGCAACGAGAGCACTCTGCAATTAGGGTTTCTTCGCCCTCTCCCTGCTTCCTTCCTTCCAGAGAGCACCAACCATGGCGGCAGTTGCGGCTCCAACGCCCACCGAGTCAGTCCAGTGCTTCGGCCGTAAGAAGACCGCGGTCGCCGTCACCCACTGCAAGCGCGGAAGGGGGCTCATCAAGCTCAACGGCACTCCAATCGAGCTCGTGGAGCCGGAGATCCTCCGCTTCAAGGCCGTCGAGCCCATCCTCCTCCTCGGGCGACACCGCTTCGCCGGCGTCGACATGAGGATCCGCGTCAAGGGAGGCGGTCACACCTCTCAGATCTACGCCATCCGTCAGAGCATCGCCAAGGCCCTCGTTGCTTTCTACCAGAAGTTCGTCGACGAGCAGAGCAAGAAGGAGATCAAGGACCTCTTGATCAGGTACGACAGGACTTTGCTGGTCGCTGATCCCAGGCGCTGCGAGCCCAAGAAGTTTGGTGGTCGTGGTGCCCGTTCAAGGTTCCAGAAGAGTTACCGTTGAAAGGTGCTGCTGGTTTCTTATTTTGTTACAGTCCGTTTCGTTTCATGGTTTGAGCATGGATGCTGTTTCGATTATGAGCTCATGAATTTTGTTGTTTAGGGAAAGTGGAATTTAGTGGTTCATGTTCTAAGGGGTTTTTTTGGTTTGTTAAGAGGATACTGCTGCTTCTTGGCAATGGATGGTTTTGATTTCTGCAATGGATGGTTTCGAATATGATACTGTTATCGGCCATATTGCTCTGCTATCTGTGATCGTTTCATGAATGCTTGTGTGATTTGTTTCATTGTCTTGCCGAAGTAATGTGTGTTGGGAGCAACTAAGATTTGGTATTTGTTGAAATGCTATGCTTAGATCTTGTGTATCCATTGCTGGATCGGTAATGGTTGTGGTTTAGTGTTACTTCATGTTTGTGTGCTTCTGTAGTTGCTAGTAGTTTCTGCTGTAGAACACGAACGCCTGCGCAACAAAGTGCCTCGCTGTGTCGTTGCAGAACCTTGATGGGTCGACTCTGTTTTCGATCATTTGAAGAACAGTTGAACTGTCAAAACCCAGAATCTATGGCTGGGTTCTTGTGTGTTAGGTATGTGGGCATAGGCAAACCACCACCATTGCTGTTGATTTTCACGCAGAGCAATGTGGACCGAATTGTTTTCGGACCGTGAAGATCCTTCCGGTAAGCGATAGAGAACCACATCAAGAAGAGTTGCTTCGAAACCCGTTAGTGTTTTCACTTCTTGAACCTCTGCTTCTTGCCTTCTAATAGGGGATGCTTTATGCTGTTCATGCCCTTTAGAATTGTCCAATTTTCCCTCGTAGCAAAGTGTCTGCAGCCTCTGGTTTTGGGCACAAGACCACACTTCTTTTCCCCTTCCATTATGTTCATGTCTACACATTTACCCGAAGAAAGTCACTCCAAACGACGAGATCGTTTCTGGTTCTTGGCTGAGACCGAATTTGGTATACACGAAACTAAACTCTGCTTTGACGAACACCATATCGGGCTGCAATTTTATAACATGGGCACCTCTTAATCAAACAACATAAACTTTGGTGCTACGATGTTCCTCGGTCCTCACATGTATAATTATCATTCTTCCTCTTCTTCTTGTCACACTAAAAAGCGATAGTACTGTAAACATAGCAGCAGCTGATCAAATGTGCCGTGCCGTCCACCGGAATTGAATCATGCACCTTCCTTGATAGAAAGCTCCCCCGCTAGAAGAGTTCTTTGCGCATTTCCTCCAGATACGGCCGCAGTTCAGGGATACATTTGCCGCAGTTCTGTCTCCCTGATCGTAACAAGTGTCAGTGCCCATGGCGGAACCAGTGCCGCCTTGGTCTGGAATCCTGGCGAAGTAGGTGAACGTCATGTACGTAACCAGCGAACGACGCCTGGTCGGTCGCCGGAGTGTCGCCGCAGATCGGAGCTCCAAGGGAAGTGCCCAAATGTCCCCCGCCGACTAGTACTAGTAGTACAATAACCGCCGTCGTCATTAGCGATGCAGCAAATAATGTGGTGTAGTAAGCCATTAATAAATGTTGTTAGTAATTAATGATTCGTTACAACAATATCCCATCCTTGTATATAGTTGCGACTTCCTTAGCTTCTCGCTTGTTAATTTATGACCTCCAAGTAACAGAGATGCCACGCCGCACACGAATCTCCCTCATGTGCTGCATGATTATAAATTGTTGCCGCAGAATTTTAGATACTTAGTCATCTGAAAATGAAAACCCGTTTAGTTTACAACTATTGTGAACGGAAAACTTTTTTGATGATTTGATTACTACATCATTGTTCTCGTATAAGTGGTTTTAATACGAATCTTGATTTAAACAGATACACGACAAATACTATTACGTTAACCAAACGTTAGAAACATACTACTATTGCATGCACATCTACGGAATCCGTAAAATTGCAATTCTTAAAAAAAAAATGGTTGATTGATTACTCAAACTACTTAAAATTACATACAGAAATGTACATGAATAAATTTGCGTGATCCGTTAATGAATTGATGAGATTACGTAACGGTTACATACTTTTTTGTGTGAGATATTGACATGTTTTTCTATCATATATACAGAGCTGTGACAAAAAAGCTCAAATACGGAATGGATATAGTCATATAGAGAAGCAAGCCGGGTACTGCGAGGTAAAGGGAGAAGAAATCATTTTTTTTTTTTTTGTTTTGTGCAAATAAAGAACACTCCAACCTTTAACATCAGCGCAGGAATCAAAGTTGTGTTTGAAAAGTTTGATTAATATGTTGGTGTATGGCTTTCCTGCAATAAACGTTCATCAGTTTGGTGTACTTCAAGAACTAGGTTTTGCCCCAAATTCGATTTGTTTTCAGTTAGGTGTATTAATGGATCTTTGTTCAATAGCTCCAAGGTATCTACAGCTATCAGCCAGTTACTCGGCTCTTTGTACAAGGATCAATCTTTCATATCATTACACCTTTTCTGTTTTCAATAGCTACAAATGGTGTTATACATCAATCATCATCACAACACAAACAAACCAACTTACAAACTACAACACCATGGGGAATTCACCAGATCTCACTTCACCTAAACAGAGACATAATCCTCCAGCCAAATTGCACCTCCAGGCTGCCGATTCCAGGTACCGTGTGTCAAAATTTTGTGGCAGGCATGCGCGCCTACTGAAGCAGGAAAGCCAGAGCAGATAAAGCGACCGCTGTGACCAGCAGCAACGGGGACATGATATGGCGGGAGCTGGCATTCGGCAACCAAGGGTAGGCATCAGGAGGAGGCATAACACAGTTGTCGCCGTTGAAGTAGATCCTTCTCGGGAAAGCCCATCCCTTTTCGAACGTGAAGCTCTCGGTTTCTTTCTGGAAAAGTAACTCCGACTGCACGTTACCGGTTGGGCCAGCTTGCATCAGCAGATCGTTGTAGAACTTCACTCCCCACATGATCATGGTGTCATCTGCAGTTAACAATTACGTCACCGCGTTTTTAAGTGTCAAAACATCGACATCCACTGTGGGGAAATGGAAAGGTAATTGAATAAACATACTGATAGATGCATATGGATTCAACGACTTGGCGTTGAAGCTGAAGATTTGGGTCAGGTTGTCGAAGTTCGGATGTTGAGCCACTAAGTTCCACTGAGAATAGTTCATTGCGTAGTTGAAGTTGGTGATGGTGATCTTCACCCGCCAGTACTGCTTGTAGTTCAGCTTAACATGCCAATGAACTCTTATGGGACACATGTGATGCGTACACTGAACAGCAGGAGGCACTGCCAAGCCGTTCTTCCCTGGATTCGGAACTACTGAAGCTAAATGTGGTTTCTCCGGGCTGCAATAAGTTAAGGAATAAGATCGCATCGACAAAAATCATATAGAAGCGGATTGCTTTGAATGTCCAATTAAGAACTCACTCAACACAGCTTCCAGACAGAGTAGTGTTGCTTTTGCAGCCACATGAGCATGTTGGGCAAGGCACTATTGTGTTGTTGTAGAAGGATGATAATGAGACGCAGCAAGTTGGAGTTTTCTGAGCTAGAAATTGAGAATACGTGCAGGTAACGTTCCATGTCACTGCAAAGGAAAGAAAGCCTTTTATTACCTCCTATAAGAAGATAAAAGTGATCAAATGTAGGTCGAGAACCAGTGCATCCCCATAGGAGGGAACCCTTGCAATATAAACCTCAACTAAACTAACATTGGTTTTAGAAGTAAATATCTATAATGCACATATGAAATTCTTAATCATTCCATTGACTACTAAACTTACTCAAAGCTTGAGTGACTCGTCGTTTATCTGCAGTCGTGAATCGACTCGGTTTGACAACTTTAGCAGGTCCACATGTGTAGCCAGGACCAGGTGCCTGCAGAGTGAAATTCACAGGAAGCCTGACTGTCTTATTGGTAGTGCCGGCCTGTCCTACGCTAAGCTGAAACGAAGCAGCAGCAGCAGATGGATCTTGTGCCCAGGAGCTGAGCACTCCACCCTTGCAGCAATTTGCGACCTGCTTATTGTAGGGAGTTCCAGGCAACAAATCGACGACAGTGGGTTTCTTCTTGCAGCAATGTGGGATGTTTCCTTTGAATTTGGAGCAATCCCCTTGCTCGGTTGTCTGCCCTCCCACAACATCCCATATCACCTCCCTCTTCCTCCATGTCCATCCCAACGACCATCCTGGTGCTTGAATGTGACGGTATTGTTGGAAGTTGTAGAGCGTTACAACCGCCTGTTGATCAGTTTCATGAATGTATCACAATATTTTAACAACTGAAGAGCATGAATGAAGTATTAGCAGCATAAGCAGTAATTACCAGCTTACCAAATATAGCAGAACAAAGTGTCACTAGCAACTGAAGGTTATGAAATAAGTAGTAGTAGCATAAGCATTAGTACTTACCATGTAACCATCAGGGGTCCAGCTCATGATATCCCATTTCACTGTGATATTTCCAGTTGGGTCAAGTGGGTCATAAGCTTCTGAAAGAAGGAAAGGAAACCCATCAGATTCAACAAAGGAAACAGTGTGTGGACAAGCAGTTAGAAACTAGAATACATATAGCTCAAAGTATCCAGCTTTTCATGTTAACACTGTTCAAAGAGTCAAAACGGACAGAATCCATAAACACGCATCAATAGCTTAGACAATATAGCAAGAGGTTCAATGGTAGAGGAATTCCAATTCAAACTTCAAAGAAGAGTTCCAGTGTGAAGCACATCTTATTGGCACCAGCTCAGCCGATCCAGCTAATCGCTGGTAGCTTCATGGAAACCCAAGTGTTCACATTAAACCTCTTAAATGATCTATTGAAACCAGTTCATTACCATTTCAAACATCATTGAGGTCTGAGGATTAGTCTTTACCGCCCACTTTGCCATTCAAGGGTTTGAGAAACATCTGCAACTTGACAAGGAAAAAGAACCTTCTAAAAGAAATGGAAAAAACCTACTGTGGAGAGCCCATGTGAGAGGGCTTGCTCCAATTTTTACACACCGTTTGGCAACGAGGGGGTGCAAATTAGAGGAGGGTGCAAATATGGGTGCAAATTATAGGAGGGAGCAAATTATAGGAGGGTGCAAATCGAGGTGCAAATTGTTGTTTGGGAGAAAAAGTAGGAGGGTGCAAAATGAGGTGTAAAGTATCAATTTTAATATAATTATTATTATTATAACAGAAAAATAAAACCAAAATTAAAAGAACCCACCACCTCTCTCTAATCTTTCCCTCCCTTGGTCCCACCTTCCTCTTCTTTCCACCCATCCCACGTCTGCCTCACCTTCCCTTGCACAGTTGCACCCCATTTTGGGGGGTGAAGGAGAATAGTAAAATTACCCCTCCAATGCACCCGCCAGCTATTATTGCTAAAGATCCAAATAGGTGCATTTGCATTGGGATCCTTCATTACCCCTCAAAATATGCACCCCCTCCACTTCCCCCTTCTGCCAAACAGAGTGTTAAAGTCTCTCCACGAGAATGTTCCCAAAAACAAAAAAAATTAAAATAAAATATTTAGCCAGAAGAATCCAGAGAGTCCTATTCCTGCATCCACTCATCTCAAGCTGTGCATGGCATATTCAAAGATTATGCCCTCAACTTCGCACGCTAACTTTTCTCAATCACACTCTAAATCTTCTCCTCGTCAAACAATCAAATGCACAGCAGCTTACGCGACCCTAAACCCCAAATGGCCGATGATCGATGATCGCAAAGAAACCCATTTCTCCATTTCTCACCACAAACCCAGAAACTTAAAATGAGAATGGCAAGGAACCCATCAAATAAATAACAAATAGAACAAAAAATGCCTCAACTTTGAACAGAAAACGAGAGCTCAGGGAAAAAAGAAAAGGATGGAAACGTTTTAGAACGCACCTGTAGAAGTGAAGATGGTGGCAGCAGAGAGCAGGGAGAGGAGGAGAAGCAGAGTGGTGAATCTGGAGAGGAATCCCATTTCCTCCTTCGACGGACAGATTCACGATGCAGGCCAAAAAACGAACCTTTTAGCCCTTATATAATTATTATGTTGATGAATCTTCCTGGTATGGAATTCCTTAGTGTGTTCACCTTTCTAGGGGCTTGACTCTGGAGAGCTGGAGGAAGAAGAAATGGGTGTGTGGGGAAATGAAAAAGGAAAAAGAACAGAGGGGGGTGTGAAGGCGTGAAAGCAATGCAACTTGGCCGTTTCTTTGGCGTTTGTTTGTTTTAAGGACTCGCACAAGTCACAATCCACATGTCAAAAGGCAGTATTTTTCCTCTTTTTAGTCATGAGACTGGGCAGAAAGAGGTGTGCTTAGAAGTTGGGAGACTACTGAATAAGTAAAAAATAGAGGTGAGACACCTCAAGTTTGCTTTCTTCTTTTTTGAGTGCGTGAATTAGTGATTACATAAATGGCTTCGCCAATACGCGTGATCATTTGACATTTAACAAAGAGGGTTTAAGACTTTAACGTAGTGGTAATCAATCATTATTGATCTTTGCGATGAAGCGAGTTGAAATTATGGCGAGAGTGCGGTTCGGACCAGACCAAAATATATATACGATTTTGGTTTAGATGGTTAGGGATCAAACCATACACTATATGGTTCAGACAATACCACATCTGAACGGTGCAGATTTGGACCAGACAGACCATGTAAAACAAAATTTCACTTTTCTCGGTCCAACCGATCCTCCTTGATATCCATAAAAATAAAAAGTTCAGTGTCCAATATCCTAGTGAAACAAAAATTAGTGACCGTAATTAACCCGTGAAGAACTATTGAGGGGTTAAGTGAACTTTTTTCGATTTCTTACCACCACTCGAGTCTCTACAACTTTATCTAGTATCCACTTAAATAAAAATACACAAAAAATAACTTGGTCTCCCTTTTATCTTTGAATTATTGCTTCTCTCCCTCTCCGAGATGGTTCGAAAGGTTTTAGAACTCAATCCTCTCCACGACTATGTTATGACCTTTTTAAACCATTGGGTTGTCCTTCGCTCACCAAAATTTCTCTTATCTTACCGAGGTAAATAAATTTACTTATGCATTTCTATATAATTGACTTCGGAGTCTAGACATGGCTAGTGGAGATGATTTTCTCATCTTTTCTTATTTTTGTGTGCTTCTTTCATTAGGTGATAATGTAAGAGGGATCGCTTGAGCGTTCGGTTGGTTTTCAGTTTGATGAAGAACCAATATAACTGTTGTGTTTGTACTAAAATCTATAAAGGCAGATCAGATTGCTTGCTTGCCATGGTCGAATTGATCGGGATCCATTTTGTTCTTCCAAATGCAAAAATTGAGACTAAGGTGTTATTTTGATTTGGACTAGTGGATCATGGTCTACAACCTTCAACCACAGTTTATCACGATACAGATCGGATCAGACCACATATTAAAGGGAGAGACCACAAACCAAATCACCGTGATTCTGATCTCACTATCCGAACCAAATCGTACAATCTACTCTAAACCGCATGGTTTGATATGGATTCCCAATCTTAGCATAGTCATAATTTTTTTTTTACAAAAGATAATCAGATATATTGATAAGATCAAAAGATAGTTACACCCTGGAGTTCAGCCAGGCCTGAAAATCAAAGAAACGACATGTAGTCGGGTACAAAGAAAGGGCCTTGCGAGCCACCAAATTGGCTACCGTATTGCTACTCCGACCTACAAAACGGACACTAAGCGTAGAATGAGAAGAAAACCCCCGGATAAGCTCTTCCAACACCATGCCAATCCGAGAATCCTTGGCGTCCTTGCCATTAATTTTATCAATTATAATTTTAGCATCACCATGAAAATAAACATCCAGAAACCCTAGCTCCAAACACCAGCGCACAGCCTCCCGCACAGAACCAGCACCTCAGCAACCAGCGAATCATCAACCACAGGGAATTGCACCCCACGCAGCAGTAGGATTCCCCCGGAGCTGTCCTTCAATACTATCCCCTGCCGAGTGAGACCCCGAGCACGTTGCCCATCCCACCAACACGAAACACCCTGCGAAAGCGAGACAGACCATTTCTTTTACTAGCTTTTACCCGACCCGTTGGTCGGAGGAAATTCGTTTTATTTTGTATTATTTATGTTTATCAATTTATTTATATATTAAATGCATTGGAATTATTTGTATAGTTTTTACTTGATTGGAAAGTAATATTATGTTACTTGTTCTTATTACTCGTAATGACTTCATAATTTATAAGGTCATCCTATCTTATTCTTATGAGTCTTATCTATGCAATTTTCATATTTTAGAAGTGACGGTCATCCTATCTTTACTCTTATCCATGCAATTTTCATATTTTAGAAGTGATTTTTGTCGTTACCACGAAAATTAAATGGTTCAAAAAGGTATTTATTCATAACATTTGATCTTATTAACTTGATAGATATTACCAACATATTATAACTTCAAATACATTAGTTATTGACCCCAAATTATAGTAATAAAATATGAAAGTATCAAAGAAAGAACTTTCTAGAAGTTAATTAAAATATTACAACAATTACTATAATCTACCTAGTCAATAATTGAGTGCAACCCCAAATTTACCTTTGATCACACGGACAATCTTAGACATTGAAATAACCCAAATCAACACCGATGCGGATGGCAAAAATATCCGTAACCGTGGATATCCGCCCGAATTCGGCCTAATTGGGTAGGGTAGAACCCGAACCCGAAGGACATTTAGTGGGTTTGGGTAAAATCCAAACCCGAATATTGCGGGTAATGGGTGGGCAATGCAGTCAAAATCTAGATTTTAAGTAAAATCGAAAACTGAGTTAGAATCGAAATCGTAGATTAAAATCGTAAAATCGTAAGATTTTAAGGTTCATATTAAAATAAATACTTAAAATACTAGATAGTAATAAAAATGCATATCTTGAATAACAATCCAGCACATAAAGCATAATTACTTCCCAAGATAAGTTTGTTTGCTAAACAAACACAACTAATCCATATATTTTTTCTTGTACATAATAGAAACACACAAATAAGAAACCTGAAACATTATAGATATCACTGTTAATTAATTGTTAAGAGTAGAAAATCATATAAGATCGTTAGGATCAACATTAACATCACTTACACATCATCGTCATCATCCTCGACCTCACCCTCACTCTCATCGTTTTTATTTGTTTAAGGACGAATATCATTACTCTTGTGATCACTTGAAGTACTTTGACCATTAACCATATTTCCTTGATTACCATCATCTGGAAAAGATAACTCATTGATTGATGCATTCCCTTCTTAATTGATAAAAGGTCGGGTTAGTGGTGCTGAAGGATTGGGAGATGAACAAAAGCTTGCAATGTAATGGAGATTTGGATTATTGTGAGGGTGGTGGGAACAAACTACAAGCTAATTGGGAGGGTGGAAGATATCGTTGATCGAAGGAGTTGGGCGTCGACGTGCGAAAGAGGAAGATACGAGGAAGAGAATGAAAATAAATTGAGGGTTAACTATCAGGTTGGGGTTGTGTTGTTCATTATGTTGGGTTGGGGAAAGTAAATTTGACTCGGTTCATGGGCATAACCGAACTTGACCGGCCTAATTTTGATCCAATTGATATGAACCTTGAAATCGTACAAAATCGTAGAAATCGTAGATTTTATGGATTTTAGAGTTTTAAATCGGGATTTTATGGGATTTTAAGGTTCAAAGATTTTATAGTAAAATCAGGATCGGAACCCATAGGTAAGATCGTAACATCGTAAGATTTTAAGATTAAAATCGGGATTTTGACTACATTGTGGGTGGGCATGGGTTTCTCACTATCCAACCCGAACCCGCCCGATTATACAAATGTATATGTATTCTGTTTAGAAATAATCATTTTTTTCTCTAACATATTTTATATTTAGCATATAAATATAATATTTTCATGAAATTGTGTTGTTTTAATTAATTTTCTTCATTCTATTGAATTATTGTCGTACTTTTCTTCTTACGTAATGTGAGAATACGTGTTAATGTTAACATATTGGTTATAGTAATGAAGAAAAATCATTACCCATGGATAACCGCGGATACCCGAAACCCGAACGGGTATGGGCATGGTTTTAATTTTCTACCGGTTTCACATGTGAGTATGGGTATGGGTAAAACCCGAACTACTTTGGGTAGGATAACGGATATGCACTATCCGTCCCCGACCCGACCCATTGCCATCCCTAAACACCGATGCTTCCTATGTCTAATTAAATAAAATGTAAATTGTGACATATTTTCAAAATAAAAGAACAATAACAATTCAAAAATGACATTGTTAAAATCTCATGAGTTTCTTTTTTCCAAAGTCGGTATAGAGTAAGATGAACATTATGTGACAAAGGATGTGACATAAGCTCCTCTTATTTTTTAGAAGTGTGACCTCTTGCTTGTGTTGTTGTGCAGCAACAGGCAATGTAGTCAAAATCCCGATTTTAATCTTAAAATCTTACGATTTTACGATCTTACCTATGTGTTCCGATCCTGATTTTACTGTAAAATCTTTGAACCTTAAAATCCCATAAAATCCCGATTTAAAACTCTAAAATCCATAAAATCTACGATTTCTACGATTTTGTACGATTTCAAGGTTCATATCAATTGGATCAAAATTAGGCCGGTCAAGTTGGGTTATGCCCATGAACCGAGTCAAATTTACTTTCCCCAACCCAACATAATGAACAACACAACCCCGACCTAATAGTTAACCCTCAATTTATTTTCATTCTCTTCCTCGTATCTTCCTCTTTCGCACGTCGGCGCCCAACTCCTTCCATCAACGATATCTTCCACCCTCCCAATTAGCTTGTAGTTTGTTCCCACCACCCTCACAATAATCCAAATCTCCATTACATTGCAAGCTTTTGTTCATCTCCCAATCCTTCAGCACCACTAACCCGACCTTTTATCAATTAAGAAGGGAATGCATCAATCAATGAGTTATCTTTTCCAGATGATGGTAATCAAGGAAATATGGTTAATGGTGAAAGTACTTCAAGTGATCATAAGAGTAATGATATTAGTCCTTAAACAAATAAAAACGATGAGAGTGAGGGGGAGGTTGAGGATGATGACGATGATTTGTAAGTGATGTTAATGTTGATCCTAACGATCTTATGTGATTTTCTACTCTTAACAATTAATTAACAGTGATATCTATAATGTTTCAGGTTTCTTATTTGTGTGTTTCTATTATGTACAAGAAAAATACATGGATTAGTTGTGTTTGTTTAGCAAACAAACTTATCTTGGAAAGTAATTATGCTTTATGTGGTTGAATGTTATTCAAGAAATGCATTTTTATTACTATCTAGTGTTTTAAGTATTTATTTTAATATGAACCTTAAAATCTTACGATTTTACGATTTTAATCTACGATTTCGATTCTACCTCAGTTTTCGATTTTACTTAAAATCTAGATTTTGACTGCATTGGCAACAGGGCTTAAGTAGCATGGTGTTGTAGACGGACCAATATATCAGCTGTTGCAACAAACATTGCTGCTGTAAATAAGAGAATCGAGTCATAAGAGAAAAAGAAGCAATGGATGATTTGGTACAAATTGAAGAAGCTTAATATAAGTTTGACTCAAATGAAAGACTGACATAATAATCCGAGTAGTGACCATTCTGGCACGTAGGCAACAGGCCTACGAATTCATAAGTCATTCCTGCTAAACTGGGGGCTATCTAGGGCTTTATCGGAATTTCTCAGTTCCCTTAAACGTGAATTGACCTACCTCAAATAGGGAAGCTTGTCAATCCCATTCAATATGCTTTTTTGTAGAACGTCAACTTGCTTGCACAAATCTTCATTTGTATTTCGTAGCGCATATGCTTTCTCTAATTTTCCCGGCAGTGTCACTCTGCTATAATTCAAAAGGGAAAAACACTACAAAAATTCAACAGCAAATAATCTTACCTCAAAGACAACAGAAAAAGACAAAACTGAGAGCGATCATAGAATTGCAATTCCTAGGTTGGATGCAAGATAAACTTCGACAAACGAAAGCTTAGCAACTCCAGGATTTTACAATAGGTAAAGTTAGTTTCTTGTTAATACTATATATTTTCTAACCATCATAGAACTCAGCTTCGCCATTCAGACAGAAATGACGAAAAATTTAAGATTTTGACATACATTCTCGGTATATCAAACTTTCTAATATCCAAATCATTTCAAAAGTACTTGTAGTATGAAGAAAAATTTAACCCTCAGAAGAAAGCAGTATACCCTAGAGGACTGACTTAAAAGACCTTGCTGTTGTACCAAGTCTAATTGATAGATAAACTTACATTCAGAAAGCATGCAAGGATAAGACCATAACAGAGAAAAACAGGCTGAATCAAACCCAGACAATATCAAGACAAATTGAATGGTCTGGACTTTCTTATATTTGATCATGCACCATCTAATTTTTGTCTGATTCTGAACAGTAACATATACACGCTCGCTAAACACTACCTACTCTCAATTAATCACAACCCTAGAAAAGCACAACTTCATTTTAAAAACCATGGTTAAACCTCACACTAAGCATCTACAAAAAGGGTGAGAAGTACATTGCTTATAATGAATTCATAACGGCAGCCACTTGATTTCGTGGTAGATCCAAGTAGCACAACTTGCTTATAGTTGACAAATACATCCTACATCTTACTGGAAGTATTTGGCATTTTGTGTTTAGTTAAAGCAAAAGCCTTGCAAGGCAAATAATTAATGTTTTTTTTTTTTTTTTTTGCCTTCATGCGTTCTTAAGTTCCTTTGCATAGGGTTAAGAGATCATCTTCCTTATAGTGGTTGAATGTAGGATTTTAATACCGAGAGCTAGGATATCAGTGAAAAAAAGCACAATATCAATCATGTCCCATACTCAAGATTATAAATAAAACAATGGAATCTGAAGGCAACCGGGAAAGGTAAAAAAGACAGCCTCTTTATCTTGGATTTGAAAATGAAAAGCAGACCATGTCTGTGATGGCAATGTTGTATAGCAGCTCTCCTCCATAAAAAAAAAGATAAACTGCAGTTATGCTAGTAGAGCAATGAAATCCAAGGAGTAATTCCATAAGTAGAGATAAGATCATATTTGACCAATTTGACTGTTTGAGCAAATTCCAGATGTAAAAAGTTCATTCATTATGTGTTATCTAGCTTGATAAACCAGTACAAGAAAATGGAGAAGAGGAAGAGTTTGTTACCTTTTTATAGTTTCTTTAGAGATACATGAGCTGAAAGATCCCTCTTACTGCAATCGATCAATCCCACCATGCTGCACCTTTTCCCCAACAACGAATCATGCATCCAATTATCTAAATATCTTTGGTTCGAAACTTCAATTGCATTGCTCATACTCGATCTCGCAGAATAGATCCATAATTTCTTAACTGAAACACACGATTGAGCATTACCAACTTAAGAGAGCAAAATCTGTAAATTCCAACACAGAATCGGCGAGACATTGAGTGGAAGTGTTGACCTGCAAGGGCCAAATTATGTATGGATGGCACAGAGAAGGAGCAAAGAAGACCAACATTGGCTCTGGCCTTTATGATTGAATTAACAATTGCGCTTCCCTCTTGAAACAGTGAGATAACTACGTTGATAACTTGAAAAAATAGACCTCGTTTTCCTTCATTCTTCAACTATTGCTCTTCCCTCCTGAAAGAAAAGGGATTTTTCATGAGTGACGAAATCAACAAAGAGTACCTACTGGTTGAAAGAGGCATACACGGAACAAAAGCATTGGAAAAAATGAACAAAGCGGTGAAGTTCAACACTGACCATTATGTTATGCAGAAGCACTTCTCTGGATTGTTTATGGTCCTTTCTTGTTTACAAAACTGATGAAGAGGTAATCTTTCATTTTGTATGGACTTTCCCCTACTCGAGTACTAATACAAACGATTAGCTGTCAAAACTCAAGCTGGTTCACAAAGAATCTCACCATTAATAAATTCCAGAACTCCGGAATAGAATAAACATATCAAATATGAAATTTCTTCTTACCACAACATAAATGCATATGCAAGTGAGAGCTGACAGATCCACCAAGCGACTTGAAAGCCTTCCGTGAAAACTCAGTCCAAGTTTGTGGGTAATTTTTTAAATGTTATTAGTTACAATGAACCTATTTTGTGTAATCATCATTTCGTTAATATTTGCAATATTGTGATCTTTTGTTGAATGAAACCATAGCCGAAGTAACCCATTGCACATAACTTCGAGTTCTCCATATCCAGATCTTCTTTCCTACCAGACTCCCATCAATGGCTTCACTGGCTACATATTAAAAACCATGTTTGAAGGGGAGATTGATTGCTTGGGAAAGAATATAAAAGGAAAACAAAGGATCAGGATAGTGCACTCGACCTAGTGAAAGCACCTCACTTACGCACAGGGAGATTGATTAATCAGGCACCACATGATTGCACTGGAGAAGAATTGATGTATCCTAAATATTTATTCACAAAAAACAGATTTGTGACTTCAATCCCTAATTGGACCTAGCAAAAGAATAGGGCAATTTCACGATACAACTTCAAATACTTACCTGCGATGGGAACCAAGAGTACACCAGCGTCAGCACATACTTGACTTGAAGGAGGGAAAGGAATCACGACTTTCCGATTCCCCGATCGAGCGGCCATACACATGGTTCCCGTTGGCTACTGTGGCCTAGGAGTTACTGACCTGCGATGGAAACAAAGAATCAACCAGCGATCATCACGGACATGACTTGACGGAAGGGAAGAAATCGCCGACTTTTCGATTCCCTGATCGAGCGGCCATACACATGGTTCCCAGTGTAGGAGAAGAGTCTGAGCGTAGGTGCTAGTGGCAGATGCTTCAGCTGTTTGATGGCGAGGGAAGAGAAAAAGTTTAGGTTGTTCGACGGGAAGGATGCTCAGCATTCGTGGGATGCGGGGTGGGTGTGCAGACCCTTGGTGATGAAGATTGATGGGAGTTGAAGAGAAGGAAAGAGAAAGAGGGAGGGTGGACAGTTTCAGTCGACAGAAAGAGGGGAAAAAACACCGCCTAAATGGGCTGCCAGCTCAGCCTCCGAAAATCACTCTAAGATCAAGAAAATTTAAATGGTGGTAGCAATTTTACTTTTCAGCTATAAATCATACTGTTGATTTGGAAATTATTCTCATTTCTTACAAAAAGTCGTACCACTTATTATTGGCATCCATGATCCATGAACGCTACCGAGTTTGGGTTAGAATCAGTGGGATGAAACATTTGGGCCGGCCCATAAAATTAGACGAATCATTTTCTCCAACGCTTCCCCGCTGGCCGCCGTTCATCCAATTAGCCTATTTGTCCCGTCAAACTTCTCCACCGCGGCGCGTCGGCTACAGATCGGTCGTTGGGTTACAGAATGAGACTTTCACCTTGGAAAGTTTGATTTTTTTCGTTTCAGAACCGGAATCTTTCGCTCCAAGTTCCCCTGAAATGTGAAAACCTGATTCCCGAAAGAGAAAGTTCAAACCTTTTAGCATTTGAGTTTTGGTTACAGCACCCGCCGATACTTCTTCGCTTCCCAAGCTCCGAGATTCCCCAATGGAGGCATCAACTGCGACTGTTACAACTAGCGCCCGCGCGCAGCCCTTTGGCCAGACCGAGATCAATTGGGACAAGTACGTTCGTCTTTCCTTCTGCTATGTGTATTGTTGCTCCCGTAGTTAATTGATTTTCCGCTGTGCGTTAGAAAATACGACCGAGAACATGGAGTTGCAAGGTTGTTATATCACGCTCGCCTACCTTAAAACAATGAAGGAAAAGTTTCATTGTGAAAGGGAAAGCACGGAACGCGTGAATTCGATATGAATATGCTTCTTCCACAATGCTCGCCGTGTATGAAATCTTGATATGTTGCTTCTTGCTAAGTATCTGATGTAGGCAAATCATCTAAACCCTTTTCATGTGCTCATGTATTTCCATCTGGGTTTTGCCAGGCTCGACAAGACTAAGTTTTATGTGGTGGGAGCTGGGATTTTCACTGGGATTACAGTAGCATTGTATCCTATGTCTGTTATCAAGACCAGGCTCCAGGTTGCTACAAAGGATACGGTTGAGAAGAATGCATTTTCTGTCATCAGAGGGTTACTGAAGTCAGAAGGTATACCTGGTCTATACCGAGGGTTTGGCACCGTGATAACTGGGGCAATCCCTGCTAGGATTATCTTTCTCACAGCTTTAGAGACTACAAAAGTGGCTGCTTTCAAAATGATCGAACCGTTCAATTTATCTGAAGCTCCGCAAGCAGCTGTAGCAAATGGGATTGCTGGCATGACCTCGTCTCTGTTCTCCCAGGCCGTGTTTGTTCCAATTGATGTGGTATGTTGTTCAGTTCTTTCTTTGCATGCCTTAGAATGACGTCCTGATATTTATCTACTCTACTTAAGACTTAGGCTTTCTGATTTATGATCTTTGGGGGACTAGTTTTCGCGAAAGGTCTTTTCTCGAATAATTTGCTCTATGTTACCTATTTCTTGAGTGGACAGGGTCATGATAGTTTTATTTATTCATCAGTATCTGTATGATGTTAGCTTAGAGAATACAGAAATCAAAGTTGCACACGATGTGGATTTCTGAAAAGCTCCATGATCGTTTTGATTTAGGTCAGTCAAAAGTTGATGGTGCAAGGATATTCTGGTCATGAGAGCTATAAGGGGGGTATTGATGTTGTTCGTAAGATTGTTCGGAGTGATGGAATCCGAGGATTATATAGGGGATTTGGTCTTTCAGTCATGACATATTCCCCATCCAGTGCTGTATGGTGGGCAAGCTATGGTTCAAGCCAACGCATTATATGGAGGTGATTTCATTTTACCTTGAAGACTTGCCTTAACTTTCTCGATTTGAATTTTCAGATTCATTTACTATTTTAGCTTTCTGTTTTAGGCTCCCTCTGATATTAAATTTAGGTTTGATCATGTAAAATGTTATCTAGTCTTTTGGAAGTGATATAATCTTAATCTTGTGTTAGGGTGTATGGCTTTAGACCATGTGCTAGATAGGTTTTCTCCAACTGCAACCCAAACCTATTGTATGGTCTTTTAGTCCTCTCATCAGGCTTCGGTAACTGCAGGTGCTTGAAGGTTATAATGCCTGTTAAAGTAGAACTATCAGTAAACATTATCTATAGGCTTCGGTAACTTGCATGATTTATTTGTCTTTAATATGTGGATCATTCTGAGCAGGTTTCTAGGTTATGGAACTGATGCTGAGCCAGCAGCCCTTAGTGACACGAAGATAGTCGCCGTTCAAGCTAGTGGAGGTATTATTGCAGGAGCTACTGCTTCCTGCATCACAACCCCTTTGGACACTATAAAGACACGTTTGCAGGTAATAGTTCAAACTTCTAATGAATAGTGTTCTTACGCTGACCATCTTGTCCTTCCCTTGTACCACTCATTCATTATTTTAATGCAAAACAAAAAAAAAAACTAACTAATTTAGCTGACCTGCAATGATGCAACTTCTGAAAGGAGTACCATGTAATGCATGAGAAATCTTTTCGCGATAGTGAATTTGAATAGTTGATTTTACCAATTATAAAATGAAGTTTTGACTGTGATCCAGGTAATGGGGCATGAAAGGAAAAGTACTGCTAGACAGGTGGTCAAAACCTTGGTAAAGGATGATGGTTGGACTGGTTTATACAAAGGGTTGGGCCCAAGATTTGTCAGCATGTCAGCATGGGGAACCTCCATGATATTAGCATATGAATATTTGAGTATGTACTCTTGCTCCTACTCAATCTCTAGAGTATTAATGTGACACTAGACTGCATGTTAGTCCCTTTGTCTGTTCGATGGCCATATCATGAGCTTTGACTTGTGCAGTAACTAGAGATACCGGTTGTTATTTCAATAGCTTTGACTTGTGCAGACTCTAGGGATACCATATTGTTTCATAAGTCGTGAGTTGTTCATGAATGCATACCTTAAGCCACTAGTGTTTGTAGACCTACAAGAGATGTATATCTCTCTTCTATTCTTCTGTTTCCTCATCTTATTACCAACTGTCCGCCGTGGTTATAGGTAGTTCATTTATCTAGTCTTGACAGTTGACAGTGTAGCTTATAATTTCACCTCATTAACAGTTGTGCATTGTTCCATGCAGAACGCTTGTGTGCAAAAGACGAATAAACAGAAAGACACTGGACATCATAGTGGCCAACAACATCTTGCTGAGGGAACGACGGGAATTTTCGCTCCTGTTCAGGAATTACCTACGATTCCTTAGGATGCCTCTTTCGACAAACTCGCAGGAGAATGTTTTCTTTTTGTTGTCGGCTGAGACTGCCATGGCCAAAGCATCTCTTATACGAGGAGCTATACCTATAAATCTTTTGCTCAGTTGCAGATTTTTTTGGAAAGCCACATGGATCCAATCTACCATTCTTTGATTACATAGAACTTAGAAGAGACCTTTCATTATTATGCTCCCTTGAGGGCAAATTATTAACGTGATTATAAATTGTAACCCTTGTATTGTTTCCTTTTCCCCTTACCATTAAAGTGTATGTTTGTAGGAGAACTTCGACTTCCTCTGATGATTAGTCATGTACTATTGATCATTCATATTAGTAATAACAGGACAAGAAACAAGTTGATCTCTTCATCAGAGAATTCCATTTCGCACTGAAAACTGTGCGACTCCTATTTATCGAAAGATTGTATGTATGCATCTTCTGCTATATTATGTCCTGGTAGGCTTTTCCAGAACAGCAGAGAAGAAAAGCTCATCCCCAAGTTTGTCCGTCTTCGGCACAACTCTCCACAACAGCTTTTTGTATCCAAGCCTTCCAAACTCATCAAGGTACATCTTCATATCCTCTTTCTTGCAGAAGAAGCGATCGACCCAAAGTAACCCACTGGGTCGAAGGACACGGTCCCAATCGAACAACACAAACCGGAGTAGCTCGACTCCTATCCACCCGTCCAGGAACAGGACTGAGTGCACAATGTCAAGCGTATTGTCAAAGAAAGGCAGTCTCGTCCCAACTGATACATACAGAGGCAAGAGCCCCCTCAGTGCAATCACCTCACTGAAAGGAGCACCCAAGTTTAATGTAGCTGAAGCAATGGTCACACTTCTCTCTCTCATAAGTGCAGCAAAAGTTCCTGTTGTAGGGCTAAAATCGAGCCCTACACGGATCTCGCCTGGCCTCAACTTCAAAACCTCGTCAATGGTGAATTCAGCCGAGATGGACTCATTGGTTGCCACCTCCCAGCCTCGTTTTGTCAGGTTGAAACAATCTGCGCATTTGAAGAACCCTCTTCTGTTAGCTTCACCAGAAATAAGACAAGCATAACTCTTGCACTTGTAATGGCTCCACATGATGTTGGAATTGCTCGGTGGGGTCCAGAGAGAGGAATTCATCAGTGGAATCGGGTTGGTGTAGCTTGGGGATGCCCTTGAGAAGCACAATCTTCTTGGAAGTGGGTCGCAGCCATTAAGAATTAGCCGTTGAGCCACATCCCAATCATCTGGGCACATTTCGTACATCTTGTAGCTCATGAAACGGTCTAGATGTGTGGCCATATGGGCACAGCCAAACCCTACTGCAGGGGTGATTGCTTCCATTCCAAGGAAGTTCTTCTTACCGTTTTGCCTGTTTGGTTTTGGAGATATGTAGTTATGAACCTGACCTGAAGTGAATGACTTTACTTTTCCTGTTGACTGGTCTTCATTTTCATCGTTGGTGGGTTCAGTGAGATCTTCATCAACTTGGCTCATTTCAGTAGCAGCAAGAGAGCTGCCCGATGGGTTTGAAAGGCTGCCTGCAACCTTGTCCAGAGAAACCGCTATGCGAAGAAGTTGATCAGAGAACGCTGATAAAGTCTTGGATCCTGTTAGGCTATCGTTGTGAAGTTGCTGCAGGAGTGCTCCCACCTGAGCCTGCAAGCCGAAAATTTGCGAGTGGAGTGAAGAAGACGATGAAGAAGACAGCAAACGCTGTTCACCATTGCAGACATCTTTGGCTGCAAAAAGCAAGCTAGGATAAGAGATGTTGGAGGTCAAACTAAAGATGGTGAAGGCGCAAAGAAGCAAGAGAGGGCATAGCAATGCAAGGAGTCTTCTTCTTCCAGGGAGCCATCTGCACGAGTTTCCTCTTGAGCTACTATGTTTCTGCATTTTTTGTGAGGAAATGGAACAAAATTTTCAAGCTTTGAGGAGCTGATATGTTCTTTTTCTGTTTCTTGTGCAGTAGCTTCCTAGGCCAGGTTGACTTCGAAATTAAGTTCAGTTCAGAACTTCAGATCCCCTGTCATTCTTTTATTCAGCAAATCAATCTTCCCTAGGTTCTTCTGACTCCAAATTACTTTTCTTAATTATTTCATGTGCGTTGGAGAAGGCAAATCCCTTCCGGTTGAAGCATTCTACATCGGGAGCAGAGCACTTCAGATGAGACGGAAGTCTACTTCTTTTTTCATAGTGGTTAATTCGGTTCTTACAAACAAGTTCTTGGTAGAGATACTTTTACAAAACGTTGTGACTTTTTGTATTAGTCTGGAATCCATCCTTCCTGCAATGATATAACTATAGGGAAAAGAGCAGACAGCTCCGGAATGAGTGCAGCCATACTTTGATCAATAGAAGGACATAAGTACAGAAAAGTGAGATCACAAACCAAAATTGCTTCATACATGAATAGTAGCAGCATTCTTCTGAAACATTATAGGCTACAAAATATGTATTACCCTGCATCCCTATTTTGCCAGTTCTAGAAGGTGACACATTTCCATCTTCGAGTGCCTATATAGCTATCAATCCTAATGATGTTGAAGTGCTTGTTCAACTCCATTCCCACTTTTCAATTCACCATTCTCTTCCTCTCTATCATCCCCCTCTCCTTCATCTTCATCCTCATCCTCATATCTTGTTCCGTCTTGTTCATCACAGTCGTGGCCTTCTTCTCCTTCATGGAGGTCCCTGTTATTAGTGTCACTTATACGAAGAGCGGATACTTTAGCAGCATATCCTTCCAGTGATACAGTAGGAAACAGATCCCCCACTTTATTCCCTTCTGTGGTTGGTGCCATTGCTGAAGTCTTGGTTTTAGCTTTGCCCATCTGATGCAATCATTACAGGGGGTCAAACATGTGCACCACACACCCAACATGATGCAAGGCCGGACAGAATCACAGAAGAAAGACCAGGTAGGAATGAAGAGTGCAGTATAGGTTCGCTAGCAGGAGGCCTCTATACATTAAGCATTGGTTCAAACTCTACTCTAACAAGGATATAGAATAAATGACCATGTTGAGAAACTGATGAGGTTACTTTAGCATTTTCTACAAGGAAGACAAAATCTCTAAGGCTTCATAGACAGAGATTGAGTAGCGCAACCAATCAAGATATGAGCAATATCAGTTGTCAGTTCTTTGTTGACAATCCTCTAATGCATATACCAAGTCAGCAGTTAGGCGCATAACGAGAGCAGAGAAATCAAAGCCCACACTTCCAATTAAGATACTAAATCAACAGGCAGAAGAAAACAGCAGGACAACTCTTCACTACTCTCTGATCCGTTTCACTTGCAGGTCAAATTCATCAGGCACTAACATAAACAAAAATCAGGACAATAGAACCCCCAGATCATTCAAGCAACATAGGAAGACGACAAGATGCTGAATTAATGGCAAGTCTTCACCAAGAAACTTACCGAGCGCAGGAGGGTCCTCCTATCTCTCTCCCGGGCATTCTTAATGGCCTACAACAACAAAAGCACCAACAAAACGTAGTTCAGAACCAAACAGAAAATTCAATTTTAATCGCAAATTAAATTGTTAGCCATATAAAAAAACATACATCCTCGAGCATCTTCTGCTCAGCCTCGGCAACTTCAGAATCCCTTCAGAATCAAACAGCACAAAGTCAAAGGCTCAGTATAAACAGTTGTTACCACAATCAAAATTCATGTATATACTTCTGACAACAAAAAGATTCAGCGCAGACCTTCCAACTATCTGGTCCACTCGGCACTGGCACTTTGCGCATACCTTTAGCTCCTTGGCACATCCTAAACAGAACAATCCATTCCAATCAAAGAAAAAGATGGTCACCACCAGCAATGAAACAAAAAAAAAAAAAAAAAAAGCAAAGCTGAAACCTTTTCAGCCAAGTAGAAAACTACCAACCTGAACATAAGTTATGATAGGCATGACGGACTGCACGCTTGGTGCAATGTTGGCTGCAAAACATTCAATCCCAATACTCAGTGACTTACAAGTTACATCTATCTTACTGGATATAAGAGAAGAACAGAGGAAAAGGCAATAAACAAGTAAGGGTTCAAGCTCAACCATTTTGACGGCTCGGTAAGAGGCTTGTACTTGCCGTAGCGGCGCTTCCAATCGATCTGATCTTTACATCGTTGGCACACTCCGCAAATCGCCGGTAAGGGCCTGAACCTGCCGCCGACTTCCTACTTGGACGACATATCATTTGGTTCATTGGACATCAAAGGAAAGAAAGAGCGATGAATTTATCTAAGTGTTAGTCTCTCAGAGAAGGGAATTTTACCGTTTCGTTGATCTTGATGCCTGCTTTAGGCTTCCAAGCATATTCGTTTTGGTGCTTCGGCGGGCCGCGTCGGCTGCTCATCTCACTCCTAGGCTGGGCGGCGGCGGCGGCCTGCTCTTCCCCGTAGCTTCAAGCGGCAGACCTAGAATGGCGAATTGAAGTTTGTTGCTCTCTCTATGACGAGTTGACGACTATACGACGTTCTTGCTAAACAATCAAAACTGTAGTGTACACTCTAGCCCTAGGAACTTGATATCCCCACAAAAAACCATGAAACTAATTTTTAATATCTAATTTTCAATAGGTGACTTTTAAGATAATAAGTTTTTTTAGAAACCGTGGTGGCAAATGGATTAGATTCACTGATTGATAGATTGGATTAGTGTATCTATGAATCAAGCGGATTGGATCAAATGAATGGGTGGATTGATCTATGAATCTAAATGATATCCTAGCCTTGGACCAATATGTAACTTTGAAAAGTTTAGATACTAAAATGTCATAATGAAAAATTTTAAGTATCAAAGTGTAATTTTTTAATGATATTTTTTCATCTACAAATCTAATTTTAGGTATTAAAATGTAAAATATATAAAGTACAAGTACGAAACTGTAATTTGTCATTTGGATCCATGGATCAATCCATGAATCCACCAATCCAATTGGGTTTGGATAAAATGAATTGTATTTAAATGGATTGTATTAGTTGGATATTTTAGTGTATGAATTGGATTTGATTCATGGATATGAATCATAATTGCCACCTCTAACCGTGGCCGTAGGGTGTCTCGGATCGGGCTGCGAGTCTCAGGATCAATTGATGATTAGCGATTTGGAGAGAATTGAGAATATAACTAGGAATTTAGAGAAATAGTAGTATATGAGAAAAGTAGGAGAAGAATTCGGTTTAGGCTGACGGTAAGAGAGGGACGAGAAAGAGGAGAGGAAGTTTTCGAATCATTGTGCAATAATATTCAAAGCATTCATCTCTAACTCCAATACATATACGAAGTAATAAACCACTAACATAATCCCGGTAACAATGAGGAAAGAAGTGAAATGATACTAGAGGATGAATTGCAGGGGGAAATTAGCGTTATTTGGGTCGTCACTCAATTACATTTCAACTCTTTATTTTTTTTAATAAGTCGATACTAAGATCCAAACATAACTACCAATTAGGAATGACAATAAAACCCGAACCCACAGGTACCCACCCGACTCAACCCGGTCAATGCGGGTAAAACCTGCGTTGACGGGTTTTGGGCCTAGTTTGGGTTTAAACCCGTTCACTATTCACCGGTTTGGGTTTGGGTTTAGGTAAACCCGCCCTATGGGTACTCGCCCACACCCATATAATTAATTTTCTCGGTATATTTAATATTCTAAACAACTAATCTTATTTATGTTTGTGGAGACATGTCTAATTTTTTCTTTCTAATTGTGTAGAATGAAGTTGATGTTATTGAGTGGAGAGTGAAAAAACTTAATTGACAAGGAGGAAGAAACTTTCAATTAATCATGTTATTTATGGATAATTTGTGATTCGCTTCAATTTTCTTGTGTTTTCTAGATTGGTGTTCAACAATTTGTATGGTTAATTTGTGATTTGCTTAAATTTTCTAGAATGGTGTTTTATATATGGATAATTTGTAGTGACAGATTGATATCTGATTTTAATTTTGATAGGAACTTGTTATTGTAAATTTTTTACGACAAAAGCCCGTGGGTACCCATGAACCGCGGATACCCAGCGATTTGGGTTGGGTTTGAGTTTTTCAAACCCAATGGGTTTTACCCCGGGTTTTTTTCACGAATAAACCCACGGGTTTGGTTTTGGGTTTGGCAAACCCTACCCAACCCCACCCATTGCCATCCCTACTACCAATGTAGTTGTACTTTAAACAACCATAATGATTTTGTAAATACCACTACAGTGATAGCCCTACACACAAAAACATTACAACGAACTACCACTGTAGTGATATTTCTACCACTCCAACGATAGATCTACCACTGCATGTGAAAGATATACCAATGCAGCGAAAGACACACTATGTCACTACACTGATAGATCTACCACTGCAACGATAGATTAACCACTGCAACGATAAACACACTATGTCACTACAATGATATATCTACCACTGCAGTGATCAATCTACAACTGCATTGATCGATCTACCACTGCATGAATAAATAAACACAATATGCCACTACAACGATAGATCTACAACTGTCGTGCAATACTATACTGAAGGAGACCAATAAATATATGAATTGTGGTCGTTCAAGGAGAATTGCCTCACCTTAGGCAAATCCTGCCGCAACCACTATCGGCTTAAAGAAGCTATGTCGCAGATAGACGGTCGTCAACGGGAATCGATCAAGCGCAGCAGAAAAAAATAAAAGACAAACTAGGTTCGAAGTTGAGGGTTCGGAATAGAAGACAGAGGGCGTCCGACGGGAGGGATGGGCCGACCGCTGTTGTTAATGAGATCGAGGATGGGTTACGGAGGGGGATAATGATTAGATGAGTCGGCGGCGAAGGGTTACGGCCGGATTCTGAACAGAGAGAGAGAGTGAAGGAGATGAAACGGTGACATAAAAAAAGTTAAGGGGAATGAATTTTAAATTATGTGTGTGAACCACTTCTTTCCCTTTCCAATGTATGTTGGGATAATTAATTATTGAATTAATTACAAATGACCAACTATTAACTTCCTATCATTAGATTAACACTAGTGAGAATGGACGGTAAAGAAGATGGGTGTCGAAAATCAAAACCCTTTTAGGGGTAGTCACGCTATCCGGTTGGTGTCGGCTCACCTTCCCTCCATTATTCTAGCTTAGCTTTCATGGAGCCCCCCGATCGATCGAACGTCCACCGTTCATCGATCTCTGATGTGGGGCACTGTTATATCTTAATTCCCTCTCCTTTAATTCCCCACTTCTTAATTCTTATCCATTATTCCTCAACCATATCTCTTTATATCAATAAACCATTGCCTCATCTCTACCCACACCACTCCAATATCCACTCCACGATGACGTCGTCATCGCCGCACAACATTACGTGGACAACAACCACCGTCGCCGTGCTGCTGCTAGTGATCATCACCGGCAGCAGCGGGTTCAGTACTCCTCCGGCGCGCTACAATAATATCAGCGGCAGCAGCTTGGCGGCGGCGGAGGAGGGCCGGAGGGTGGAAGATGAAGTGGAGATGGTGGTGATGGATTCGGAGACCCACCGGCGGATGCTCGTCAATTCGATCAGCTACGACGGAGTCAAGCTGCCGTCGAAACCGGCGACCAACTGTGCAAGAAACGACTACTACTGTTTGGATAAGATTCAGAAGCGGAAGCTCTACTGTGATCACCACAGCCGCGAACCGGCGTGCCACGCCTGATCTCTTTAATCGGGAATTATTACGTTATCTTTATATGATTGTCGTCGCCCGGTCACCGTCGCCGGCGGGACCAGATTTCGGTTCGGTTTTTCATGATTTAAGTGTAATTTATGGGTAGTTTTACTCTTCCTATCCATTATTCTATCCATACTGCACTTTGGGTAGAAATCAAAATAATGTTAGATGTTGAATAGTGAGAAAATCATACTTTTTCACTAGCAAAGTGTTTATACGTTATCCACTAAATATCACCGTTTGGTCGATGGATTAGATCTTATCATTTCTTTTCCCATTTTTTTGTGTTTGGTCAGTAATAGTTAACTTTTAGTAAATTCGGTTAACATTATTAGTGATTAGGGCGAGCTAGTGTTATTTCGACAAACATCATTCGTTTAACGTAATTCGTGAATTCAGTGAATAAACGTATTATTTTGACACACATTTTACTATATCCACAACAAGGTTGTCCGATTTGTGCCGGTTTGACAAGTGGTATGGTCCAAACGGCGGTACAACCGGTTTTATGCCGTTTTAGGAAAGTGAACTCATTAACACTAAAAAATGACTAGGGATATGCATAACATATTTGAAGACAATGTCTCTGAAATTCACATCCATATTTAGATCAAATATAACATTCCTAACGAAATGAAAAATTATCATATTTAAATACAACAATTAGCCCTTGACATCCAAAAATTTATCCGCAATATTCATACTTGAATCCAACAAATACCATCAACATTTAACAAAATGGAACGTGTTGTGCTGGTTTCATTTCAATTTTCAGCATCCATCTATGTCGCTTGTCGCACGGCGGTGGCAGGGAGGGAGCTCAATTGGTGGAGGGGAAGGACTCAGTTCAGTAAAAGGACAAGCGACAAATCCCAAAAAGGTACAGAAGAAAAGTCGAGCCGTCGGAGATTCTCCTCGGAAGTAGCGAAGCTGCGAAGGGAAGCAACTTTTCCCACCACCGGCTCCGCTACACGAAACAAAGCGAGCAGCTAGAATCCACCGGCGCCGCCGCCTATCGAAGGATGCGGATCGTCGATTCAGCCGCCATCATCGTCGCTGTCCGAGTCTCCTATGGTCGCTCGTTAGTTACCAATCCATCCCTCCGTTGTTGAGAGACTAATAACAAACAGGGAGTAGGTCAAACATCAAACAAGGCTTGCAGCAGGGACTGGATTGGAGGGAGAAAAAAAAAAAAAGATTTCAATGGGGTGCTTTCACTCCAAAACCTTCCATCTGCTTTCTCCTGATAGTAAGCAGCAGGAACCGCTTCCATTTCCAGAAGACCCGAAGCAACTCGCTACTAATCCCGATCCGTCCATCACCGGCGATCAACTTGACATCCCAGTATTCCGCGAGTTCCCTCTTAACGAGCTTCGTGCCGCCGCCAATGGGTTCAGCTCCGAATTCATCGTCTCTGAGAGCGGTGAAAAGGCTCCCAATGTTGTGTATCGAGGCAAGCTTAATGACAATCGCCTTGTTGCAATCAAGCGCTTCTCCAACCTTTCCTGGCCAGATCCTCAGCAGTTCCTGGTAATGAACATGAATCATGGGTTTTTCAATCCCTTCCTTGATTTGGCCCTTTTTTTTTACCTCTCTGCACTTACTGAAGTCTTCATAGCTGAAAAAATGTAACAGAGTGAAGCTTCTATGGTTGGGAAAGTACGGCATAAGAGATTGGTTAACTTAATCGGGTGTTGTGCTGAGGGTGATGAACGTTTGCTGGTTGCTGAGTACATGCCTAATGATACCCTTTCCAAGCATCTCTTCCATTGTATGTATACTGAGCTTGACATTGATGAGGATTCGAGAACCATGGGCTTGCTTTTCTCTGTGCCCCTTTTTCTGTCTATGTCAACTCACAGCTCTAACCCGTTGTTCTCTTTTTGTTCTTTTCCCCACACCCTTTTGCTTTAGGGGAAAAACAGCCTTTGCCCTGGGAAATGCGGGTCAGAATTGCCTACTACATTGCTCAAGTGCTGGATCATTGTGACACTCAGGACCGCAAAATCTACCACGATTTGAATGCCTATAGAGTTCTTTTTGATGAGGTGCTTGCGATATTCTTTGCATGCCTTTTGATAATAGTGATGTTTTCTGCTGCTGCTTTGAAGATTCTGGCAATTCGACTTCAAAGTTGCCCACTTTTCTTGTCCGTCCTGCATCTTTCTATGCTTCTTTAAGTTGCCTTTTTGTTTTTCTAATGTGGAGTATGTAGATTACATAGTGTTAAAGTTTGATGTGGTATGACCCACCTGCTCTTGTTTTGCATTTTGAAACTTCCTTTTAACATTGCAGGAAGGTGATCCTCGGTTGTCTAGTTTTGGCCTCATGAAAAATAGCAGAGATGGGAAGAGTTACAGCACAAACTTGGCTTATACCCCGCCTGAATTTTTGAGGACAGGTAGAAACAATACTGAGTTGAGGCAGCAATATATTTCAATTATAAGTTTTGGTTACTTGTACGTTCTCTTAGTGCAAATTCATTCGTCAGTCACTATAACCTTCTACTAGGCCTGGGGTGCAATCAGTTACTCCAAGCATTTATAAAGATGCAAGGGCAGAAAGCAATTTGAGGCTCCCCAATCTTTTCTCCATCATTCACGTTTGTGTCTTGAATTTCTTTTCATGTTTCACTAGACGTTATCTACATGTAAAACTCAATGATTCTCTAATCCATACGATGAACTGCTTTGACTGAGGATGTTTCTTAGCGAGTCTGAGGAATCCGTTTAAGAATCGCGATTATCCTTCAAGGCATTAATGACCAAGCAAGTGAAACATATGCCTAACCAGAAAGGTCTAGTTGATCTTTTTGGTCGTTATTTGTTCCACCTCATCTACTTTCATCTTTTCTTAAGTGCAAATATTTTACTGAAAGTTCCTGGTCAGGCATACACCGAGGGTTTTTTGGGTGAATTTCAATGGAGAATTAACTGTACAGGCATTGGACTACGTTGATTTGTCAACTATCTTAGCCAACAATAAGGTAAATGAATTAAAGAATGGTCCCCCATGGTAAATTTTTTAGGTCTATAAACATCTAGTCTCACTCACCAATACTCTTGTCCACTCTCTCTATGAAGAGAGCAATTGACTCGTAAAAGAGAAACCTTATCGTTATAAATCTACTGCAGAGCTGCTATTGTAATTGGATAGCTAAAATACTTCTATTATATGATGCAAACTTTTCAACTTATCAAGTTGGAATGGCTAGCAGATGTTAGAAATCACTTTGAAAATGGCATTTTGCCAAGTGTTAGGCTAAAGTTTAGTTTGTCTACACGAATGCCTATAGAAGTAAATTTGTGTAGTGATTTCGTCTATGTTTAAAGCTACAATTTATAAGTTGTGAGAGAGATGGGGCAGTCTGTCTTAGATGGTACAATAGCTCGTTTTTCGGGTTTAACTGCATGCTAATCTTTACCCCTTATCAACTGCTAGTCACAAAGTTATCTGAGAATCATTATTGACCACTTATTAGAAGTTTGCTGCGTGGTTGCGCCATGTAGAAGAAAACTTGATATTGGCTGCTTGATTTATTTATATCATGTGGATGTTGAATTGCTGCAGGAAGGGTCATCCCTGAAAGCGTAATATACAGCTTCGGAACTGTTCTGCTGGACCTTTTGAGCGGGAAACATATCCCTCCAAGCCATGTATGAGCTTATTGCACATAGTAGCTGATATCATCCTTTCATTATAACATTAGAGCTATTGCAATTTACAAGTACGACTTTAAACATAGTAGTATTGACCTTGTGGTCCGAGTTGTTTGGAGATTTGTATCATTCATAAGAAAGTTTTGAAACAGCCTTGCTTAACATGCCTCCTTAATTGCATGGCTTCAATAGACTTCTGTTAGATGGAGCACGCTTATTGGTCACAGTAGAAGGCTCCCAATAATTTCCAATTGGTGTTTGTTTCTTCAGGCACTGGATTTAATCAGGGGGAAAAATTTGCTGTTGTTGATGGATTCATCCTTGGAGGGACAGTATGCAAATGAAGATGCAGCTGTGTTGGTTGAACTGGCCTCTAAGTGTTTACAGTATGAGGCTAAGGATCGGCCTGTTGTCAAGTATCTTCTTACTGCAGTAGAACCACTCCAGAAGCAGAAAGAGGTTCAGAGCGTCTTAAGCTTGCCTGGGAATTTACTTCTATAGTTCTTCTATAACACAAATGCTTGTGCATAGATGTTCTTAGCAATTTTATTGGATTGATTTTTCCTAGGTTTCATCTCATACGCTGATGGGACTATCAAAAACTCCGGTGCCACTTCCAATTTTGCTTTCACCACTGGGGAAGGCTTGTGTAAGGATGGATCTCTCAGCAGTGCACGAGGTCTTGCTTAAAACAGGATATAGAGATGAAGAAGGAGCGGAAAATGAGGTTTGTTTCACTATCGCCGTTATTTTATATGGAGAGCTTCAGCTGGAAAGTAAATCCATTGTAAATTAGCGAGTCAATGAATAGGGAGCCGACATTGGAGATGTATGATCTAAATCTGTTGCTTCGTTTATTCATATACCTTGGCAACACAAATATCTGTATGATCTAATTTTGCTGCCCTGTTCTTTCGTTTCTCAAAGCTGTCGTTTCAAGAATGGACCCAGCAAGTGCAAGACATGCTGAACACAAAGAAGTTTGGTGATATTGCTTTCAGAGACAAGGATTTTAATAATGCTATCGATAACTACACAAAGGTAGCCTTTTCATTATTTGGATTGCATGGTGAAGACCGAGAATGCAATCTCTGATTGTTTGGTTGGGGATATATATGCCCATTTCCTATTTATGCAGCTGGTGTCGTTGATGTCGGTTCCTTCAGGAACCGTGTTTGTGAGGCGAGCATTGTCCTACTTAATGGTAGAACAAGCAGAACTTGCGCTGAGAGATGCAATGCAGGCACAAGTCTGCTTGCCCGAGTGGCCAACAGCGTTCTACATGCAAGCGCTCGCGCTGTCAAAGCTCGGCATGGAGAGTGACGCTCAGGACATGCTGAATGACGGAGCCAACTTTGAAGCGAAGAAGCAAAATAGCTGGCGCCATCCGAGTTAAGATCATGGTTTCGCTGATCGCAACTAGTGGTCTCTGCGCAATGTAGGCGGCGGAAGAGATAGAAGCATGAGCAAGGTCTATTTCCACATGCTTAGGAAAAGAAGAGTTCATTAGGTTAACCCTTGGGAGGGTTTGTAAGTTTCTTTTTGGCAGTCTACCCTGGCTTAGTGTTAGGTAGCAGCTAGCAGAAGTTATGTTGTTGTTGTTGTTGTTGTTGTCAGTCTTTTGGGTTTGTTTTTCCACACAACGATTAAGAGTTGTACAATCATGAGATCAATGTTGAGTAGACATCAAGTAATGAGACGGCAGAGGAAGGTTCGATTGATAAAATTTGAAATTAGGGACTCCTTTAAGGCTTTATTAGTACTGGAAAGACGAAATGACTAACTAGTGAAGTATTGAAGAATTATAGAAGTTCAAGGACATTGTCCATTTGTTCATTTAACCTCACAATCTACTATTTATGTAACCTAATTGCATAAATGTGTTACTTGTCCTTGGTAGTAGGTGGCTATAAGGTTGCAGTTTCGTGATAAACCCACTAACCGCATCAAATCTGCACGGATTGTAGTTAACTGCAAATCGAATAAGAAGGCTTTTATGTGGTAGCAGTTAGTGAGTGATGTTAACAGTTTTGCTGTTGTGATTAAAAATACTTGAATCTAACAAATGACATCAACATTTCACTTTAAAATTTACGAAATAAATCACATTATTTTTTTTATTAATGAACTTCACTAAAAACGACATCAATTTGTTTATAGGCCAAAAAATCAATCCAACTGCAAGAGCAGGTTTTAATATCTAAGATAGATATTTATTTGTGAGCTAAATAGTGCAATCAATCCATCAACGAAAAGAATGGTAGTAAATGAATGTTTGGACTGGATATAGAAGTGATGATGAACAAAGTACGGCTAACTTGCAGTCAATTGCTTAGATCAGAGGAGGAATTCATTGGCTGTCCTAGAGATATGGAGATCATGAATGAGTTTAACAGTTTGATCAGGAGATGCAATTTTGTGGATCTTTCGTTGCAAGGGGCCAGATACACTTGGAATAGAGGAGGTATGGTGAAGTCGTCTTCTCGTATTGATAGAGCCCTAATTAATCTGAGTTTTGAAGATCTTTTATCTCAAAAGGCTCTGATTGCTCTTGATCGAGTTGAGTCGGATCATAATCCGATCCTACTACAGTGGGGTACAATTGATCGTTTCATTCACCCTTGAAGGTTTGAAAATATGTTGTTTCAAGAAGACTCATTTTTGCAGAGCCTGGTGGGGTGGTGGTGCGTCCCTGTCAATGGGACTATCTACCTGTTCAGATTTGGGCAGAAGTGTAGGCAAACCAAATTAATGATCAAGCAATGAAATCGAGATCATTTTGGGAAAGTAGAGAAGCGAATTGTTGATCTTCTTTTCAGAATAAAAAAGTATTGATGATGCTGAAGAGATTGAACAGATTAATCCTTTGCTATTGTCTGAGACAGCTATCCTTAAGTGTGAACTTGAGAAGGTCTTAATCATGGAGGAGATATTTTGGCGGCAGCATTCCAGAGAAGTGTGGCTTCATGTAGGAGACAAAAATACTGGCTTCTTTCATAGAGTGGCTAAGTTCAATAGAAGGAAAAACAAAATTAAGAGATTGGTGAATGAGATTAAGATAGCCTTCCAAAATCATTTCTATGCTAAGGTCGTTGAGATTGAAGATGATAGGCCTTTCCCAGCCAGATACATGACTTGTTTGTTCTCTCCAAAGGAAAATGAATCACTAGTGAAGCCTTTCACGGAGTTGGAAGCTTGGCAAGTGTATTGGGTATTCGATTGAGTTCTTCCTCTTTGTTCTGGTTTGACTGTTGTTTTGGGGGTCTCTTGTTTCTGTTGGTGTTTAGTTGTTGTTCCCCTCCTCTTTGTTTTGTTGTTTGGTTGGACTGTTTCCGTCTTTTTCTATAATAAAATATATATCATCCTTAACCCAAAAAAAAAGTACCGCTTAGGGGTGGCATTTCGGTTATTTCGGATATAATCGATCGGCCGGTTATCGGTTAACCAAAAATAACCACTCCCTCTACTGAAAACCGCCCGAAATAGATTTCGGTTTCTCAATTATCTCGGTTATCGGTTAACGATTTTTAAGACCAAAAATCATTTCGTCTAGCCTCCGATAACCGACCAAAGTTCGGTTACTTCGGTTACCGGTTAGTGAATAACCGACCGGTTAACCGGTAACCGAACTGCCACCCCTCACTTGCACGGTCAGTAGAAGTCTCCAAACATAAAAGAAAACCCTGCACATGACGACAAGCACAAGCATTTGGCAGGGTAACTATGAATCATATTCTTCCCTCGCCGAATTGGTTTTTCCTTTTGTTCGTATGCCTTTGATTATTCATTAATTACACCTAATAATAATAATAATAATAATAATAATAATAATAATAATAATAATAATACAGGATAGTTAGCAGAACTACTAAGTCCATTTACAAATTACAAATTCCTAGACTTTTTTTTAGAGTCATCTCATTTTTCTCCATTTATTTGATATTTCACGTACTAATTACTAACAAAATATTTATTTTAAAATTTTGAATTTGACGATTTGGTAATTTTTTTTATGTTTGTATGTATTGTTGAATTAAAAAATTCTAATATTGTTTAAGTGATGCTAACCTTTTGAATTATGTCCTGTCGTATTAAAATGACATGTATTTCAATGAAGAAATCATGAAATATGATGGAACGTTGAGGTGGATGGAAATTAAATCGACAAAATCATTAAGATGATGTGGTTTTGGGTTGATATATTTAGAAAATGAATTGTGTTAATTTTGTCTTTCCAATATTAGATTTCAACCGGCATCCTGTAGAGCGTATTGAAACGAAGGAATTGAGAGTTTGAAAATTTTGAAAATTATATCATTTTAATTCCCAGCAACATCATCAGAAAGGAGCTACGTCGTTGTTTCCGAAATGGCACGTAATCAACACCTTCTCCTACTTCTTCCTCTTCGCATGCGGCGTAGCAGCCGGCGTCTTCTTCAACTCCTACCTAAAAAACGCCTCCTTCGACCTCCACCGCACCAAATTCTCCACGGGCGTCGATGGTGGCGAAGGTGAAGGAGTATCCGTTCCCTCGGGTGCCGGAAGTGGCGTTCATGTTTCTGACCAAATTAAGGGCCGATGCTTCTGGCGCCGATGTGGGAGCTCTTCTTCAAAGGGAACCTTACCAAGGGCTCTACTCCATTTACATCCATTCCAGCCCTTCCTACGTGGACGAGAGCCCTCTCTTCCGCGGCCGCAGGATCCCCAGCCAGGTAAACTAACCAATTAATTTCGACCCACACCCTGTCTCGTCGTTCTTAGTTCATTTTATCTCAATTTTGTACGGTGTTTATTTATATTCTTTCTGTTTTGATATTTCTTTAACTACTTAGGATGGCGTGCATGCAAGGTTGTCAACCCGCAGGATGACCCGGACATATGAGTAATAACATATAACATTACATCAATATTCAAATGTTCAATTAAAGATTCCAAAGATTGAGTTAGACGAAAAGAAAAATCGAAAAATAGTCGCATTTCGCAAACCAAAGGAAACAATGACACAATTTGACCTCCAACCCGATACTTCGGCCGACCCGGCGAATGAATGCGGCCCCCTTTTCTCATCAGGTCAGGGTCAAAGACACCACCAGTCCACCACCGACGCCACTCAAACCCCTGCCCACATCAACCACGCCACCGAACCAGCCGCCAACACCGTCAAGCAGACACCAACCCCAGAAACCACCGCACAGAAGACAAAACAACACCCCCAGCCCCCAGGCACATGAAACCCTCAAATCCAACGCCAAATGGAAACTAACAGAGCATCAACAATTCGAAAAGGAGACAACATCCTGTTACATTTCATTACTTGGGGGTTTATTATATAATTTTCCCCCTTAGTTTTCGTGTAGGGTTTTGTGCAGCCACTTTTATATATATGATGAATAAGTGCTGCCGCCAATTGTAACAAAGAAACAAGATCAATAAAACCTAAAGCTGAGAGTCACAACTCTCCGTGGATTAGTCTCGTTCACACCGAACGAGGATACCACGTAAATATCGTGTGTTCGTGTTCTAGATTTCATCGATTTCTACATGGTATCAGAGCGAACAACGATCTAGAATCGCTTCCGCATCGTCAAGGTCCTACACTACATCTTTCAAAGTCTCGTCACTCTTCCCTTCGTCATGAGTAACAATGATATTGTGCTCGGCGGCGCTGATCAATCCGACGTCATCGGACCTGCGTCGCCCCTCTTCCTTACCTCGGCGGATCACCCAAACCTCGTCTTCGTGAGCGATCCTCTCACGGACTCCAACTATGGTGATTGGGATGCTGAGATGTCCAATGCCCTCTTGGCCAAAAACAAGATGGGTTTTGTGGTGGGCACTGTTCCCAAACCCGCTGCCGGCGCCAAGCAAGATGCGTGGGTACGTTGCAACGCAATGGTCGTTGGCTGGTTGCGTGTGTCCATGAGCAGAGAAATCCGCAGCAGCATCAGCCCCAGCTTCACGGCGAAAGAAATATGGGATGAACTGAAAGAAAGGTTCGGTACTGGAAACCTCCCGCGTCGGTATCAGCTGCGCCGCCAGATCGCCGATCTTCGCCAAGACAAGTCCACGGTTTCCACGTTCTATGCGCGCATGAAGAGACTGTGGTATGATCTCCTCACGCTCGATCCGCCGACGCGTTGTACCTGCGGCAAGTGCGAGTGCGACGTGGAGAAGAGGACTCGTGCATCACTTCATGCGATGCGCCTGCTGTACTTCCTGGTGGGGTTGAATGATGATTTCGCCACCGTCCGAGCTTCCCTCCTCTCCATGACGCCCATACCGTCGCTCGGCGAAGCTTACAACGTCGTCGCCAACGACGAACAGCAACGCCACCTCACGGATGATCGTCGTCCTCGTGTGGAGGCTGCTGCCTTTCAAGGAAAGGGTGAGCGACCGCCTGGTGAGGATCGGACTCCGGAGGGACGACCGTTCTGCACTCACTGTCAAAAGCTGGGTCACTTCAAGCAGACTTGCTTCGAGCTCATTGGCTGGCCCTCTTCAACGCCACCTGCTGGTCGTGGCAATGGGAGCAGGCAGCGTCGTCGTGGAGGTGGACAAAGATCTCAACCTTCCTCGACCCGCCAAGCAGCCCAAGTTGAATCTCTACCCAACAATGTTCCTGGACTTACCCCTGCGCAAATTGCTCAGCTTCAAGCCTTCCTGAACATCGAGCCTCACGCTGCCGCGTCACCTCGTCGAACATGGCAGGTAATAATCTTCCTCACTCCGACTTGTGAATTTTAGATTCTGGTTGTAACGAACACATCACTAAACATGCATCTATTCTTGATTGCGAGCACGAGTCGTGTGACAATCTGCAGGTTAAGATTCCGAATGGAACTGGTGTTCCAGTTCGTAGTATTGGAAAGGCCCGTTTGGACAACGGCCTTGTTCTTAAGAGGGTTTTGCATGTTCCTGCCTTCCACTGCAACCTCTTGTCTGTCAGTCGTCTTACCGCTGATCATCCCATTGCTTTGATCTTTCTGAGTAATTTCTGTGTACTTCAGGACTTGAGTTCCAGGAGGATTATTGGGACAAGTAGACAGATGGATGGACTTTATCACCTGCAAATGCTCGATCAACAGCATCCTGTAGCTTTCTCGGTCCGTCGGGCATTTCAGGATACCGTTCTTTGGCATTCCAGGCTTGGACATCCCTCACCGGCGAAATTGCAGCAGCTTCAGCCGTTTATTTCTTCTACATTGGTCAATAATAAAGAGCCTTGCACCTCCTGTTGCAGGCAAAACAGTCTCGGTTGCCGTTTTCGGCTAGTCACATTCGTTCTCGGCATTGTTTTGATTTGTTGCATGTGGATATTTGGGGTAGTCATAAACAGGCATCATTTACCGGCGCTCACTATTTTCTCACGATTGTGGATGACTATAGCCGTGGTGTATGGGTTTTTTTGATGAAACATAAATCTGAAGCTGCTCGATATCTTGTTATGTTTTGCAAGTAGGTTGTCACCCAGTATCTAGGGACAGTTCGGACCAGAGTTCAATTCTCGTTTACTACGCGACTATTATGAAGAAAGTGGTGTTGTCTTACAGACTTCCTGTGTCGACACTCCTCAACAAAACGGGATAGTCGAAAGAAAGCACCGCCACCTCCTGGATACCGCTCGCGCCCTCCGTTTTCACGCTGGTCTTCCTCGTCGTTTTTGGGGTGAGTGCGTCCTCACTGCTGCTTACCTCATAAACCGCTTGCCTCACACTTCCATCCAGAATCGGACACCCTTCGAGCTGCTGACCGGTACCCTGCCCAGTTACGACCATCTCCGAAATTTGACCAGTCTATGCAAAGGACACCCACCATGGCCTTCCGAAATTTGACCCCCGCGGGCGAGCATGAGTGTTTCTGGGCTACCCTGCCTCACAGAAGGGTTACCGCATCCTTGATTTGGAGCGTCAAATCATACACACTTCCAGGGACGTGGTATTCTTGGAGAGCACTTATCCTTTCCTTCAACTTCAATCTACATTCACATCTGCCCATCCTCCCACAAATCCTGGGCCGCCTTCCTCAGCCCAGCTGGCCCCTAGCTCGTCCGCCTCCAGCCCCATCGCTGAAAATGCTCAGCCTTTACGCCGCAGCACCCGCACTCCTCATCTCCCGGCCAAACTTGACATATATGATGTCACTCTTCCTGGTCAGTCCTCGGCACATCAGGCTATCTACCCTCTCAACAACCATGTTACTTATGATCGTCTTTCACCAAAACATCGCGCCTATGTAGCTCGCATCTCAGCGCTTGATGAACCTCGCTATTTCTACCAGGCAGTTCGGTATCTCCATTGGCGGCAAGCCATGCAGGCCGAGATCTCGGCCCTGGAGGCTAATGGAACCTGGACTCTTACCTTTCTTCCTCCGTGCAAGAAGGTCATCAAGTGCAAATGGGTCTATAAGATAAAATTTCATCCCGACGGAACCATCGAACGCTACAAAGCGCGTCTTGTTGCCAAGGGCTTCACCCAGGTTGAAGGCATTGACTATCATGATACTTTTGCCCCTGTGGCCAAGCTCGTCACCGTCCGTTGTGTTATTGCCGTCGCTGCTGCTCGTGGATGGCACCTCAATTAACTCGACGTCAATAATGCATTTCTTCACGGAGATCTTGAGGAGGAAGTATATATGGAGGTTCCCCAAGGTTTTGCTCGTCCAGGTGACACTCGCGTTTGCAAGCTCAACAAGTCCATCTATGGACTTCGTCAGGCCTCCCGTAACTGGTACCACAAGTTTTCGGATGCTTTACTCTCACTCCGGTTCCGCCAGAGTCGTGCGAATCATTCTCTCTTCATCTATCAACGGGGCTCAGTGTTTGTCATTGCTCTCATTTATGTTGATGATGTCATTCTCACTGGTAATGACCTCACCTTCATTCAGCAGGTTAAGGATTTTCTTCATGCTAAGTTCACTATCAAAGATCTCGGTCCCCTCAAGTATTTTCTGGGCATTGAGGTTGATCGTTCTTCTCGTGGGGTTGCTCTCAATCAACGCAAGTATGTTCTCGACATCTTGGCTGACTCTGGACTTGAGGGGGCGCGTCCCAGTGCCTCCCCGATTGAACAAATTCACCAGCTCGGCCGCACAGAATCTCCTCCCTATTCTGATCCTGGCTCTTATCGGCGCCTTGTTGGGAGGTTGCTCTATCTCACGGTGACTCGTCCAGACATCACTTATGCGGTCAATATCCTTAGTCAGGGTGTCAATTCTCCTACCCAGGCTCATTTTGCGGCTGCTAAGCGCGTGCTACGCTATCTCAAGCAGTCGTCGGGTCGTGGTCTTTTCTTCCCTGCCACCAGTAATCTCCGACTCGTTGCATACTGCGATGCCGATTGTGCTGGGTGTCCTTTGACTCGCCGTTCCACCACAAGCTACTTCATTCGCCTTGGCGCAACTCCCCTTTCCTGGCGTACCAAGAAACAGACGGTGGTTGCTCGATCTTCTGCTGAGGCTGAGTACCGCTCCATGGCCAGTACCGTCAGTGAGGTTCTCTGGTTACGTTGGTTACTCGCCGATCTTGGCGTTCCTTCTGATGGTCCCACTCCTCTCTTCTGCGACAACCAAGCCGCCCTCCACATCGCGGCCAATCCTGTCTTCCATGAGCGTACTAGGCACGTGGAAATGGATTGTTATTTTGTCCACGAGCGCGTTCAGTCGTCTGAAGTCACTCCGCTCAAAATTCCTACAGCTCAGCAGCCCGCTGATGTCTTCACCAAAGGCTTGGGGGTTGATCACTTTGCTTTTCTTGTTTCCAAGCTTGGCATGATCGACATCCATGCCTCCGCTTGAGGGGGCGTGTTACATTTCATTACTTGGGGGTTCATTATGTAATTTTCCCCCTTAGTTTTCGTGTAGGGTTTTGTGCAGCCACTTGTATATATATGATGAATAAGTGTTGCCGCCAATTGTAACAGAGAAACAAGATCAATAAAACCTAAAGCCGAGAGTCTCAACTCTCCGTGGATTAGTCTCGTTCACACCGAACGAGGATACCACGTAAATATCGTGTGTTCGTGTTCTAGATTTCATCGATTTCTACACATCCCTACACCAAACCACATGACAGTAGAACCAAAAGGCATCTAGCCAAACCACCGAATCACTACGCCATTCTGAGTGAAGCAAGGAGGACAGCTCTAAAAGTCACAAAGAAAGATGTAAATTGCAAAGCAATTCCCTCTGCACATTGTCGAAGAATCATTCTTTCTATGCATATCTAATTATTGAATTGAACATGTTTGTATCGCTCATAAAAAAATAAGGAAAACAATTCAATAATGTCAACACACATTGCTGAACACCTGGTACGTGTCATGTCAGTTATACATAACAATCAAACTCAACTGCGATTAGAGGTGACAATTCTCAATTAAATTCATCAATCCATTAAAAATATCCAAATAATACAATCCATTTGATTAAAATCCAATTGGATTGGTGGATTCATGTGTTATTGGCAAATTACAGTTTAGTACCTACATTTTTATTTTTTACATTTTGGTACTTAAATTTTATTTTTTTATACGGAAAATATCATTGCAAAATTATGTTTTGGTACCTAAAATCAATCAATTAACCACGTACGTACGCACATGGTGCAGGTAGTGACGTGGGGGAAGTTCAACATGGTGGAGGCCGAGCGGCGGCTGCTAGCCAACGCCCTCCTCGACGTCGCGAACCAGCGGTTCGTCCTCCTCTCCGAGGTAGGGCTGTCAATTTGGTTTGGTTTGGTTAACCAAACCATTAAGTATGAAAAATCAAAAACCAAATCCCAAAAACCAAAACCAAAACCATTAAGGCCCTTATTGGTTTTTGGCAACCAAAAACCAATAAGGGCCTATGGTTTTGGTTTGGATAACCAAAAAACCAACATATACTCATACACTCATATTTATTCCAATTTCCCTCCTTTTTATTGAATAAACGTCATAATAATGGCAAATGACCATAACAAATTATTGGTTGGCATGCGTGTCAAAAGAAACAAAAAAAATATCTATATATATTTGTTGATAAATAATTTTATTCTTATTGGTTTCTTAATGGTTTCTATTGGTTTTTCGGTTTTAACCAAACCAAAACCATTAAGTTGCTTATTGGTTTAAAACTAAAAAACTGGAACCATTAACTTTCCAATTGGTTTGGTTTCGGTTAAAACCAAAACCAAATGGACAGCCCTACTCCGAGGCCTGCATCCCGCTCTTCAACTTCTCCACCGTCTACGACTACCTCGTCAACGCCCGCCACGTCCACGTGGAGGCCTACGACACCGCCGACGCCCGCACCCGATACCACCCGGACCTCATGCCCGAGATGGCGCTGCCCGACTGGCGGAAGGGGTCCCAGTGGTTCGAGATCGACCGCGACCTCGCCTTGGAGGTCGTATCGGACAGGAGGTACTTTCCCAAGTTCCGGGGCTTCTGCAGGGACAAGCCCTGCTACGCGGACGAGCACTGCCTCCCCACTTACTTCGTCATCGAGCACTCGGGGAGGATGTCCAACCGGAGCCTCACGTGGGTGGACTGGTCGGCCGGCGGGATTCATCCCAATCGGTACGTGAGAGGGGAGGTGACGGAGGAGTTCCTCGAGAGGTTGAGTCGCGGGAGCGGGGAGTGTTTGTACAATGGCAAGAAGACGACTACTTGTTTCTTGTTTGCCAGGAAGTTTCTCCCTACTTCGTTGGTTAGGTTGTTGAGATATGCGCCTAAAGTCATGCACTTTAATCCCTAGCCATGACTTTAACCCCTAGCTATAGATGATCGAATTGATGTTGTTTAGGAGGAGAGTGCTGATTGTGTTACGAAAGCTAGTCCGAGTTGATTTTGTTTTCTCGATATTTTTTTCCTGATCGGACTTTGTAATCGTGTTGTGTTGTAAACTAGGATGTATGCTTGTTGTTGTGCCCTTGATTTAGATGAATCAATGAATTTAAAGTGAGAATCTAGATAGCCCTTAATCTATATTGCATGATTATTTCAGCGATTGTGTCTTTCGATTTATCGTGATGACATATTGAACTGTCTCGCGATTCTACTATGCTCATGTACACTTCTAAAAACTAGTGGTGTGGAAATGTACAGTAGCTTCAACCTAGCTAGATGAGAAGCAAAAAAGAAAGAAGACAGACATTCATGATCATCTGTTAATCACATTTTTTCCCCTTCTGCCCTGCAGCTCCCCTTCCACTTCTTCTGCAACAGCAAAGTCTACTTTCTGTGGCTTCCCACTGACATTTCTAACCTCCAAACATTACTTCCCATGTGTTCACTCTCTCCGTTCATCCCTCACACTATTCCTTCTCTTCATTGCCTTTTTAAAACCCGTTTTATCTATAGGCTGGCAAAGCAGGAACAGGCAGTTACAGAGATTGCAGAAAAAAATGGGGCAATTCAAGGCGACAATATTGGCCAAATACCTTACAGTGCGACTCAGAAAAGAATCCAGTAGAGGTGGAAGCCTTCATGTAGGAATCACCACCATAATTCTATGCTTGTTCATTACGTCGATTGTTCTGTTTCTTGGGGCTTTCTTACGTACACATGTAACAGAGTTCTTGTCTTCCTCTTCTTCAATGGAAGAAGTACTTCCTGCTATTTTCTTCTCTCCTCCGATTCCCGATTGTGCTTCCAGCACCATGAATACTTCTTTGGCTTCCCAATCGGCTGATCAAGTATGGCATTCAATGAACGATGAGGAGCTAATGTGGCGGGCATCGATGGAGCCACGTGTCTCGCAATATCCTTATAATCGCACCCCAAAACTAGCATTCATGTTCTTAAGCAGGGGAAACTTGCCGCTTGCACCTCTCTGGGAGATGTTCTTCAAAGGGCATGAAGGCTTTTACTCCATTTATCTTCATGTTTCTTCGATAATAGATTTCACGCCTCCCTATTCATCATCAGTCTTTTACAATCGCATGATCCCAAGCAAGGTCAAAACCCACTTTTATAATCTGTTTTCTTCTTCTGTTTTCATGTAAGTTGAAACTTACAGCTAATTGACTGCAGCCAGTGCAATGGGGAACAGCAACAATGGTGGATGCAGAAAGGCGATTACTTGCCAATGCGCTTCTGGACTGGTCGAACGAAAGATTCATTCTTCTCTCGGATACCTGCATTCCTATATTCAATTTCACCACAATCTACAACTACCTTATTATCAGCTCATGGAACCAGAGCTTCCTGGGCTCCATTGATGACCCTCGCCCTATGGGCAGGGGACGATACAACAAAAGAATGCAGCCAGAGCTGACCCTGGCCGACTGGCGCAAAGGTTCTCAGTGGTTTGAAGTCCATCGTAGGGTCGCAGTTCAGATGGTCTCTGACATAAAGTACTACTCTATTCTCAAACAACATTGTAAGCCTCCACGGTGTTACATGGACGAGCATTACTTCCCGACACTTGTGACCAAGATCTTACCAGAGATTAACACGAACCACAGCATCACGTGGGTTGATTGGTCCCGACCAGGCTCTCATCCCTCCATGTTTGTTAGGAAGCATGTAAGTGAAGGGTTCTTAATGAAGATTAGGAACATGACCGACTGTGGGTTTACTCATCGGACTAGGAGCACCATTTGTTTTCTCTTTGCTAGGAAGTTTCACCCAAGTACCTTGGAGCCTTTGTTGAGGATAGCTCCATCTTTGCTTGGTTTCACCGATAAAATTAATTAAGACCTGTAGCCTATTGTGAGCAGATTACTAACCAAACATATTACTGATGAAGATGACTAACCAAACGGATTTCATGGGCCAGCATCATCAAAAAGAACCTTATAAAACCTTTTTCTTTCTTCGGGGTTGAACAAACCACTAACCTTATCTCTATCTTGTTCTGATGATTCAGTACTTCTATCCTTCTTTTTCCCAGACCTTGCAGCAACAAAGCCTTTCTTCTTCTGTTTCTCTAAATTCATTAAATAGTGTCGCTGGTTATACTCATGAAGTCCTTCTTGCATCAACTCACCAAATTTCCCCTTAACAACAACAAGAGGATCCATCTCTTTTAGGTCCGAGCCATTATATGCATCTTTCAGAAGAACCGTGTATATCTGGTACTTGTTGGACACATAGAATATGCCAGGATGCTTTAACAACAGAACATTCAATTTGTCTGGTAAACTGAACTCTTTTTTGAAGTGCCCCAGCTTAACGATTGACATCTTCTTCCACAAAGTCAGCGAGAGCAATTCGTGTACCAAACCCACAGTTCGTTTCTCCGTCTCCTTAGCACCTTCGACCAATCCCCTGGCACGATCGTAAGGTGACACATACGGTATGGCATTGAATTCATGAAATCTTTCCCATGATTGAACCCAAGATGAAGGCAGAGAACATGAAAAACAAGGGCTGCAACCTCTCACCAATGCTGAGGTTTCCACAGCAGAAACTGCAAAGTCTGGGTTCCATGATAAAAGTTCAATCTCCATTGAACTCTTTCTCCCAGTGTGGTTGACAAGTCGAAACATGTCCGGGTATCTGGGGAGAATTCTGATTATGTAATCATCTGGAAACCCCAAATTTCTTCTCAGCTCGTTAAGTTTGACAACATTGATCCTCTGGTTAGTGCTCATCATCAACAACTTGGCTAGCCGCTCGACATAAAAGGGCTCCTGCATATCTTTAACAGATTCTTCCTCCTCCACCAATGACAGCATCCTCTTAGTCAATCGACAGTAGTACTCATCATTCTGTAGATAGACATCGAAACAACAAGGGTATTTCTTGAGCCAATTGACGGCTTTACCTTGAAGATCAAGAGTCCTGAACTTCTTCTGCAGATATTTGACAGAGGCAGCTTGGCCAGGACATCTTAGAATCATGTTCTTTATTTGATTGTTGACAATCCATCTACGGTTTCTAGATAGAGCAGCTTCAAGATCAGGGTCCTTCTTCATAGACCAGAGCGAAAAATTCCGAAGAGGGTGAAGCAAAGGCAAGGATTTCTGCCTACCACTGCCATTGATTAGCTTCTGAGCAAACATATGAGATCAACCAAATGTATATCCAACTCCTTGGATCACCAGAAACTTTCCCCCATGCGCCACTCTTGCTAAAAAACCTACAGAACCAGAACAAATCATTTTATTCAAACCAACAATCACAAGACTAACAGCTTGAAAGTGATTGCATTTCATCACGCAGTTTTAGTTCACAATTAAAAACTAACGATGGATTCTCGAATGTGGTGAGATTCATGACTCGCTCAAGAGAAAATGATAAAGCTTGAGATGGGTACTTCCGTTACCGTCAAAATATGGCTTCTCCTGACTCTCGTTTGAGTAGTTGTTGAAGAGAAATGATGATGTTGGATTCCAGATGCTCGGACCAGGTTGCCGACGGCTTTAATCGACTTCTTCTCCTGAACTAGAGAAACCCCAGAAGAAAATTTCACGCCGGCAGTTGGTGAATCGAAAGAGATAAGCTGCCGGATCGTATTGAAACCGAAATTAGGGATTATGAATTCTGTTTTCTTTGCCGATGGAATTAGAATCCGGGGATTGCCTCCGCCGGTCGGACGTGTTTCCTTTAGTTATATTGCACTTCAATACCTCAACTATTGGATATCTACTATTTAAGCCCCAAACTAATTTTGTTTCTGTAGTGCCCGTTTCTTCCAAGATTCTTTTGAATTCATTTTGATACCATAAGTCCATAACTGAGATTTTGGTATGTTTGTGCAATGCTTTGTTTCACAATTCATGCAATATTCTAGAGTGGTGGTTATGTTGAATTGTTGATCCACGAATTACATCGTCTAGATGGATGAACAACCTCTAAACGCGAAGCCCACTGACGAAGGAAATGAAGTGTTTAAGGTGCCACTGCTAGTAGGTCTGTACTCGTGTTTCAGTGCAAGACAAGTTCACGCCGATGGCACAGTTACAAGATACCGCCAACGAACAAGTTGATGGAATTAGGAGCAGCCAGACCAGGAGTTTCATGGTGGTTTTCAATGCAACAGAGAGACATGTCTTGTGCGTTTGTGGTCTGTTCGATTTCGAGGGGGGTACTTGTGCAGGCATGCTACTGAGTGTTCTTAGCTAGAATGGGTTTGAAGAGACTCCTCGCAATACATTGTTTCTCGGTAGAGGATGGGCATAAGACGAGGTCGTGCTCTTGATCATGCTTGCAGTGCCATTGATACTGATAAGCCAATTCATATAGGTATGACAATTTGTACAGGCACATAGTGGCAGTTATTAATGAAGGTAGGAGACCACAAAACCGTTACGAGGTTACGATACAGGGACTAGAAATTATTTTACTAACACTTGCATCTTTCCACAGAGGCAGGGTTGCAAGTGAAGTTGTCTTCTTTGTAAATAAAGTGATTTATCTATACCGTAATGGTCGTTCCTGTAACTGGCCCTATGGTTTACAAGATCTCAAGAAGCACCTGTAATTTTTCGTAATACATCGCAACATGAAAGACAACACTCTCACGAAATTCGTCCCAGTTACCTGTCACCCCCTCCCCCTCTCTCTATCAGGAGATGAAACACCAGTGGTGAGGTAATATCAATGTCCATCTCGACAAGAAACGTGCACCTCAGCTTTTTTCAAACCTTTCCATTGAAAATGTTGATTCAAACGGAAATGACTGTAAAACGGACAAACTCGGATTTACGTGGTATCCCTGGTGTGATCCAGGACTAATCCACGGAAGAGCACTGAACACTCTTCTAGCTACTGATCTTATTAGGTTTTCTGTATTGGTTGGTTTACAGCAGCCACACTCGGCCAAAATATATACAAAGGAAAGGAGACCAAGTCGAACCCTAGGAGCCCTTGCTACACACACAACGACGGCGCTCCATGCATGGGTTTCATGGACTTACGTATTGGGCTAATTAGTACTGGGCCTACGTACTTGTACAACAATTTACATAACCCAAAGAACTTAATCCGCTAACAGCCTCCCCCAAATTGATGCTGACCACAAAGCATCAATTTGCTCGAGAGGTACCAATGACGACTGGTGGGGAAGGACTTGGTGAAGATATCAGCAACCTGGTCCTCCATACGGACGTAGTGAAGTGCAATGGTCCCGTCACCAACCAAATCGCGAATGTAGTGAACATGAATCTCGATATGCTTCGTCCGATCGTGGAGGACTGGATTGACGGCAATGCGAATTGCACTGGTATTATCCACGTACATATCCATAGGCAGAGAACAATGAACGCCCATATCCCGTAGTAGACGCTGCAACCAAACAAGTTCAAAAGCGACATCCGACATCGCACGGTATTCAGCCTCAGTGGAAGACTTCGAAACTTTATCCTGTTTCTTACACCGCCAGGAGATAAATGAAGAACCAAACTGGACAGCCCAACCAGTAGTAGATCGGCGTGTATCAACACACCCAGCAAAGTCGGAATCAAGGTAGGCACGCAAAGTGAGTGAACCAGAGGAAGGAAAGAACAAACCAACGTCCCGGGTACCCTGAAGATAGCGCAGAATGCGGTGCACAGCAGTAAGATGATCAGTACGGCGAGAGGACATGAACTGGCTGACGACCTGAACAGGATAGGAGATATCAGGACGAGTAGCAGCAAGATATATCAGACTACCAACAATGCTACGATAAGCAGTAGCATCAGGAAGCAGCTCGCCAGAAGTACGACTCAAGTGAAGATTGGCTTCCATAGGCGTAGAGACAGGTGTGCAATCATGAAATCGATGATCAGTCAGTAAGTCGGTAATGTACTTGCGCTGACTCAAGAGTAGACCTGTAGAATTCCGTGTAACCTCAAGACCAAGGAAATACGAGAGATCACCTAGGTCCTTGAGATTAAAAGCCGAATGGAGGCCTTCCTTAAGGCGACATATACCAGCAGGATCGGATCCGGTGATGACCATGTCATCAACATACAGTAGAAGAGCCACTATACCAGCCGAAGTTTGCCGAGTGAAGAGAGAGGGATCATTCAAACTCTACTTGTAGCCAAGAGCAGTAATGGTAGCATGAAATTTCTCAAACCAAGCACGGGATGCTTGTTTAAGACCATATAACGAACGATTGAGTCGACAAACTTGATCAGCAGTACCAAGAGAATAACCAGGAGGACGCTCCATGTAAATGACCTCGTCTAAGTCACCGTGAAGAAAGGCGTTCTTCACGTCAAGCTGGTACAGAGGCCAGTGCTGAAGAGAGGCAACAGATAACAGAGTGCGGACGGTAGACATCTTGGCAACGGGAGCAAAAGTCTCACTGTAGTCCACTCCAAGCTCTTGAGTAAAACCTTGCGCCACCAAGCGAGCTTTATGGCGCTCAATGGTCCCGTCAGGTTTCATTTTGATAGAGTACACCCAACGACAGCCTACAACAGACGTGGATGGAGGAGGACGTGGAACTAGTATCCAAGTATTGTTAGCATGCAAAGCATCTAACTCACGCTTCATAGCATAATCCCAAACTGGATCGCCCTGAGCTTGTTTATACCGGGTAGGAACAATAAAGGCATCCACACCATGGGCAACATAGTCATTAAAACGAGGTGGTGGGATACCTTTTTGTGACCCGAGCTGAACGTCGAGGGGAAGGTGGTTCTTCTGTGGACAAAGAGCTAGTTGGGGCAGCCGATGCTTCGGTTGGGGAGGAAGTAGCGCTAGAAGTTGATGGAGAAGGCGTGTGGCCCATGACAGGAGTATAAGTAGGCGCCAAAGAAGCACTAGGCAAGGATGTGGAGCTAGAAGTTGATGCTGCCGAGGATGAGCTAGAACCGGTGGTGGAGGGAGACAGATCGGGTGCGGGGGAGTCAGGTGGCACATCAAGGGAAAAATCATCGCCATCAACGAAGTCATCACCAAAATTTGGCAAAGGTAAATCGAGTGGCATGAAACTAGGAGAGGTGGAATCTTTTGTGTAGAACATAATATGTTCAAAAAATATGACCGTCGTAGCAATACGCATACGCTGAGAAGATGGATCAAAGCACAAATATCCCTTATGCACATCACTATAGCCGAGGAAAACACAACGGGCAGTTTTGGAGGAAAGTTTAGGACGCTCACGTTTAGGAAGAAGCACAAAGCAGAGAGAACCAAAAACACGAAACCGAGTATAATCAGGATGTTGAGAATAGAGAGCAAAGAACGGACTGGTGTTTTGTAGAGTCGGAGTAATTTGATAATTGATAAGACGAACAGCCGTAGCTACTGCTTCTGGCCAAAAACGACTAGGAACATTAGAAGCAAGAAGCAGAGCTCTGGTGAGATCCAAAACATGACGATTTTTCCTTTCAACAAGCCCATTCTGTTGGGAAACGCCAGGGCAAGATTTTTGACTAAGAATGCCAAGAGATCGATAAACCTCATGTAAGGGAGAGGAACTAAATCCTTCGCCAGGATCGTAGCGAACTATTTTCACGGGACGGTCAATCTGAGTTTGGATCATTTTTAAGAATTCCGTAGCAACCGAACGAAGCTCCGATTTTAGACAAAGGAAATAGACCCAAGTAAAACGTGTAGCATGATCAATAAACAAGGCAAAATAACGAAAACCATGCCTAGATATAACAGATGATGGACCCCACAAGTCGGTATGAATAATATGGAATGGTTGATCGATAACAGTTTGACTAGAGGGAAAAGACCGACTGACAGTTTTTGCTTCTACACAACTTGTGCAAGAATGTTTTGCAGAAGTACAAACGTTATTTTTGTCGAGTAAAGACTGCTTAAACATCATAGCTAGACGACCAGAATGAGGATGTCCTAAACGGGAGTGCCAAAGATCCCAAACAGTATCAGATTGACTCGAAAAACATGAAGGAAAAGATGTCGGACTACTGACAGACCTATCAAGATTACTACTGACGGATGACGATGATGGAACCTCCCGAAGTTCCTCCAGATGAAAGATTCTCCCCCGTTTACTCCCTTTTCCGATCTGCCTCCCCGTCTTCAAGTCCTGAACAAAGCAACCAGACGGTGCAAACAAAACAGAACAGCCCGCTTCAGTAAGTTGTCCCACATAAACCAAGTTCGGAACAAGTTTTGGAACATGAAGAGTATGTGATAAAGCAAGTTTAGAATCCGTCATCGTACCCACTCGATGGACTCGTAATTGACTACCATTAGCCACACGTAATGACAAATCACGAACAGGTGTCACATCGGTTAAACAACTTGAGTCATGCGTCATATGATTAAAGCATGCGGAGTCTAGGAGCCATGGAGATTTCTTACCTGTCGATCCTTGAAGTGTGGCGAAGGCAGCATTGATGGCTGTAGGTAGCGATTTTTGGAGGGCTGAATTCACCATATTTTCTACGTCCACAGCGGAGAACCCTCCACTACTACCGTTGCTGCTTGCATCGGTCAGGTAAGCATTCCGTGCCGGACGATCCATTGGCCGCTCATACTGCCGAGAAGAAGATCCCGTTGCTGGCGGCTGACTTCGGCCAAGAGGAGCCATTTGCTGTCCTCGTGCTTCATGGCGCTGTCGAGTGCGGCAGTCGAGCACAATGTGGCCGCTTCGCTTGCAGTAAACACAGAAATTCCATCCTCGACAGTGTTTTTTCAGATGGCCACGTTCGTGGCAATAATGGCACTCTAGTTCGGATATGGGAGTGCGGCGCTGGAACTGTAGGCGGTCGGCAGCATAGGCAGTCGATTGAGAAGCCGCAAAGACAGATTCGCCAGCACTCGGACGAGCATCAAGCTGGGCTTGAGTGCACATCCGAGTCTATTCTCGGACAAGAACCCCTAACATCCCATCAAACTTGAGATCGGCTTGATTAAGAAGGGTGGATCGAACGGCTTCAAATTCTGGACGAAGCCTCATCAAAAAATTGAGCAGTCGGGTTTTTTGTCTCTCGGCCAGAGTATCAGCTGAGATGGGTTGAGGACGGAGAGCAGCTGTGATGATGTCTTGCTCGGTCCACAGCTCTTGGGCGGAGTTGAAGTAGTCGGTGACGGATTGATCGCCCTGTTCAAGGCGAGCTAAGGTCGTCTGCAACTCAAACTGGCGGGCGACGTTCACTGTCGAGTATGTCGCTTTCAAGTGCTCCATCATCTGATGTGAGGTGGAAAACAGACGGAGGCTCAAGCACGTTGATGGATCAACGGATCTAAGTAACCAGGAGCGGAGACGGGCATCCCTTTGATGCCATTGCTCGATCTCGGAAGCCGGCAAGGTTGGACGCGGCTGAGGTGTGGTACCGTCGAGTATGCCGAGCATACCATGGCCTTCAATGAACACTCGAAATTGGAATTCCCACAAAGCAAAATTTGTTGAGGTCAGACGAACAGCTGGGCAATCAGAATTCATTGGCGGAAGCTCTGATACCATGTTGATTCAAACG